AAAAGGAGGAATGGACGCCGTACACAGTCGTAAAAGATTTGAGCATCTCTATTGCTGGATTAAAGGAGGGAAGAAAATATCGCTTCAGAGTGGCAGCAAGAAATGCCATGGGGTCCAGTCTTCCCACAGAGACCAGAGAAGCTTATGAGATCAAGGAGCAGATGTGTAAGTTATTAAATCATATATTACTCAAACATATTTTGAACTACACTTCCACTAAAAACCTGTTCAATCTTGTCATTTCTTACCAGTGGAGCCCAAAATCATCATGCCTGAGCTGGTCACTGCAAAGGCAGGAGCAAAACTGAGGGTTGAGGCTCTTGTATCAGGAAAGCCAGCACCAGCGTGCCAATGGAAACGGGGAGAAAATAATGTAGTCCCATCAAGCCGTCTTGCTGTGCATAAATCTCTGAACATGTGTGTGCTCATCATTAAGGATGTTTCAAGACAAGACAGTGGTGAATACAGCCTTGTTGCTGAGAACAGCACTGGAAAAGTTGACCAGACTTTGAAAATCATCATCAGAGGTTAGAACTTTTCATTTTCATCATCAGCACCTTCAACAATAATGGGATATGTGAACATGCAGTTAATTTTTCAACAAACATTCTTATGTGTCAGATATTCCTGGACCACCTGAGCCACCATTTGAGATCAGTGACATAGATTCTGATGCCTGCACACTCTCTTGGAACAAACCTACTGAAGATGGTGGGAGCAATATTACTAATTATGTGGTTGAGAAGTGTGACGTAAGCAGAGGTGACTGGGTGACTGCTCTTTCCAGCTGTGGCAAAGCTGGCTGCAGAATCGGAAAGCTTATTCCTGGAAAGGAATATATTTTCCGTGTTCGTGCTGAGAACAGATTTGGTATTTCAGACCCCCTTACATCTGAAAGAATGATTGCTAAGTTCCCCTTCGGTGAGTTGAAAAACAAGCATCAGCAGCATCTAATGGAGATAAAAATGGTGTGTCCTGTTTGTTAGTGTTTAACAGTTTAATATTTTTTAGATGTTCCTGGTGAACCTTTGAACTGCCGCATCAACAAAGTGAACAAGGACTGCATGTTTGTGGCTTGGGATAAGCCTGAGTCTGATGGTGGCAGTCCAATTACTGGATACTACATTGAACGCAAAGAAAGGAACAGTCTCCTTTGGGTTAAAGCTAATGATTCTGTTGTTCGCACAACTGAGTATCCTTGTGCTGGCCTAATTGAGGGTCTGGAATACACTTTCAGAGTGTCTGCTATAAACCGAGCTGGTCAGGGGAAACCAAGCAAGAAAACTGAGTTTATCACAGCAAGAACACCTGTTGGTATGTGCATATAAAATAGAATGAATTCTTAGGTATAAATGTCTGCGTATTAGATGATTATGTTCCATGTTTTTCTGGTGTTTTATTTTTTTAAATTGTAGATGCTCCTGGAAAACCAGAAGTGCTTGATGTGACTAAGAACTCAGTTACATTGGTTTGGACCAAACCAAAGAATGATGGTGGAAGCAAGATAATTGGATACTATGTTGAAGCAATGAGGCTTCCGGGAGACACTTGGGTGCGTTGCAACACAAGTAGTCAAAATGTGCCTCGTGAGGAGTACACTGCAACTGGGTTAGAAGAGGGTGCTAAGTACCAGTTTAGGGTAATTGCCAAGACAGCAGTTAACATTAGCAGGCCATCTGAATTCACTGACCCCATTCTGGTGTCTGCAGAAAATGGTAAGCATTTTTATATTTTGTAAATGTCTTTTAAAATGTTTTCTAAATGGCTGTCAATTGCTATTTGCCTTATTGGTTTTCTCTCATGTTTGCTTATCTATAGTACCTCCAAGAATAGAGCTTTCAATACAGATGAAAAAGATGTTGCCAATAAAGGCTGGGTCAGATGTTTGCCTTGAAGCTGAAGTTTTTGGTAAACCAATGCCCAAGGTTACATGGAGCAAGAATGGAGAAGTGTTGAAAGCTGACAAAGAATTCAAGATGTCTCAAAAGAGACACCTCTTTTCTCTGAGCCTTGATGCAGTTACTAAACTTCATACTGGAAGTTATGGAATTCTTGCAGTAAATGCAAGTGGTTCTACAACTGCAGAAATACAACTCCAAGTTTTAGGTGAGGAAAAAAATATAATTTTATTCTTTATTCTTTAGCTTAATTAAGTTGAGATATAGCATATTCATGTCTCCTTTTGGCAAAATGATAATCATACATTCTCCCTTACACAGATATACCTAGCCCACCAGCCTCTATCAAGTTTGATGAAGTACTTTCAGATCGGATCAAGTTGAGCTGGGAGGCTCCACTTGCAGATGGTGGTTCTCCAATTACAAATTATGTTGTTGATAAACGTGAGACAAGCAGAGCTAACTGGTCCCAAGTTTCTGCTAAAATCAGTGGTGATACAAAAGAATGTTTAGTGGAGAAACTGATTGAGGGGCACGAATATCAGTTCCGTGTTTGTGCAGAGAATCGCTATGGTACTGGTGATGCCATCATATTGGACCCTGTTGTTGCAAGGAATCCCTTCAGTAAGACCTTACTATTGGTGTATGTATTTTACTTCTTGGATATATTACTACTGGATGGTAATGCACTTGTCATTTACAGCTGTTCCTGGAGCATGTGACCCACCGGTCCTTACAAACATCACAAAGGAGCGTATGACTGTAAGTTGGAAGGAAGCATCTGATGATGGAAAATCCCCTATCCTTGGATACATAGTTGAGAAACGTGAGACCAAGGAAATTAACTGGACCAAACTGAACAGAAAGCCCTTACTGGAGAGAACACTTGAGGTTGGAGGTCTCTCTGAGGGAGCTCAGTATGAGTTTAGAGTCATTGCTGTTAATAAAGCTGGCCTTGGCAAACCCAGTGAACCATCTAATGCCGCCTCTGCTCTTGATCCTTTGTGTGAGTTGTGTCAGAAGCTATTTACATTATCTTGTATATCTAGGAATATGCAAGAGCATTTATGAATTCCTCTTAATACTTATTTACAGATCCTCCAGGACCACCCATTTCTCCCAAGGTTACAGACACGACCAGCAGCACCATTAGACTAACTTGGACTAAGCCTGCAAATGATGGTGGTAGTGAAATTTTGGGATACCTTGTTGAATGCAAGAGAACTAATACAACAGACTGGATAAGATGCAACGTACCCAAGAACCTTCAGGATACAAATTATGCTGTGACTGGACTCTTGGAGAACTCAGAGTACCAACTTCGTATTACTGCTGTAAATAAAGTTGGATTTAGCCAGCCTTGTGAAGTTCCTGAAAAACATGTTGCCAAGGATGTTTTTGGTACAAATAATTTACTAACTTTTAAATCATTAATTGTATATTTTGTTTATTCTCTTTTAATTCTGGCCATGAAAATACAAAATTAAAATATTGTGTAACTTATGCCTGAAATATATAAATGTTTTTTTTTCTGTTATTCTAGCTGCTCCTGAGGCTGAGCTTGATGCAGAGCTGAAGGACACTTTGGTGCTCACAGCTGGCAGTAAAATGAAACTTCATGCCACATATAAGGGTCGACCAATCCCCAGGGTGACCTGGGCCAAGATGAACACCAACATTAAGGACAGACAAGGAATCATAATCAAGACAACAGACACTGATACATTGGTTTATGTTGAGAAAGTCAATAGAAATGATGCAGGGAAATACATTCTGAATCTTGACAGTGTAAGCGGAATGAAGATGTACACAGTTATTGTCAAGGTCCTTGGTGAGTCCTAAGAGGTCGTTTATATTTAGATATATAGTTTATAGTTTAATTTATATACTGTCGTTTATAGTGTTAATATTTTATTTTAACTAAAGTAATTATATCTCTTTTAACACTAAACAGATACTCCTGGACCTCCACTGAATCTGATGGTAAAAGAGACATCAAAGGACAGTGCCTCCATCCTATGGGATGAACCTCTAATTGATGGTGGAAGTGAGATTACAGGTTACATCGTTGACAAAAGAGATTCAGAAAGGAAAGCATGGTCAAATGTTTCAACCACTTGCACTAAAACATCTTTCAAGATTGATGGTTTAGAGGCTGGAAGATCTTATTGTTTCAGGGTTCTGGCTCAAAATATGTATGGCATTGGTGAGCCATGTGAAACTGTGGATGCTGTTAGAGCTTCTGGTGAGTGAATATAATTTTTGACTATGTAATCTTCAATTGCAGAAACAATTTCAATGTACATTTTATAATAACAATGTTAATATTTATTACTGAATAAACTTAATATATTCCAGAACAACCTGGACCAGTTATGGACTTTAAGACCTTGCTGGTAACCAAGGACTCTTGTACTCTTTCCTGGAAAAAGCCCATCAGTGATGGAGGAAGCCGCATCATTGCATATGTGCTAGAAGTCCTTAATGGCGAAGATAAATGGAAGGAGCTTCTTAGATCAAAGAATATGCAATATAGTGCAAAAGACCTTGTTGAAGGAAGGGAATACAAATACAGAGTTAAAGCAACAAATGATTCTGGTGATGGTCCTGTGAAAGAACTCTCTGTGATTGCAAAAAATGTCAATGGTGAGATTTCTAATTTTGCATTTGCATAAAAATGCACTTGAGCTCTATCTGTTATATTGTGTTTTAAATGTGCTCCTTATTAATTATTTTTATATATTATAGTTCTTCCAAGCTGTGACTTACGAGAGTTGCCTAACTTGAACTATATTGCAAAAGAAGGAAGCACAGTTCGTCTCAAGATTCCTATTAGTGGAAAGCCTGTCCCTGTTGTCACATGGAAGAAGGGAGAGGATGAAAATCTCACAGACACAGGAAGAGTGTGTGTAGAATCAACGGCAGTAAACACAACTCTTATGATACGTGACTGCCAAAGGACAGATGCCTCAAAATACACCATCACTCTTCGCAATGCTGCTGGAACGAAAGAGTCCACAATTTTTGTCAGAGTTGTTGGCAAACCAGGAATTCCAGCTGCACCAATAAAGTTCAAGGAAGTGACTGCAGATGGTGCAACCTTAAAATGGGGTGTTCCTAAAGATGATGGTGGATCAGAAATTACCAACTACATTCTTGAGAAACGTGATTCCATTACTAACATGTGGGTTGCTGTGTCTTCATCTGTGGACACAAACACTTTCAGAGTGACTGGTCTCCATGAGGGAACTGAATACATCTTTAGGGTTAGTGCAGAAAACAAATATGGAATTGGTGAGGGCCTCAAATCAGAGCCTATGGTTGCCAAGCATCCATTCAGTGAGTGGATTTTCAATGATTTATTGTCAATATAGTTTAGATACTATAGGTATCAAATAAAAAATCTCACTTTCTTACTCATGATTATTTCATCAGATGTTCCAGATTCACCTCCACCCCCTCAAGTCATGAGTATGTGTCATGATTCAGCAACTCTTGCATGGTTGGATCCAAGGAAAACTGGAGGCTCACCAATCACAGGTACAAAAATAATTAAATTAATATAAGACAATAACCTTTTCATAAAGACAATGTTTTTCACATGGTTTTTTTTTTTTTTTTTTTTTTTTCTCGCACAATGGGGATGTCCTTTTTATATATATATATATATATATATATATATATATAATTTCAAAGTGACAGGCTTAACAGAGGGTCTAGAATATGAGTTCAGAGTTATGGCTATTAATCTGGCTGGTGTTGGTAGACCAAGTCCTGCCACTGAGCCAATGGTTGCCTTGGATGCAATTGGTAAGTAAATTTCAAATGCTTGAGTCTCATATAATCCCCCCATTATACACCCCACTTTGAGTAAGGTTAATTTTTAATAACTGAACATATACCATTACAGATGCACCTGGCAAACCTGATGTGATTAGCATCACTAGAAGCACTGTAACACTTCAATGGACTGAGCCTCAATATGATGGTGGACACAGGCTTACAGGCTACATTGTTGAGAGACGTGATCTCCCGGCCAAGGTCTGGGTGAAGGCTAATACAGTAAATGTGGTGGACTGTGCATATACTGTAGCAGACTTGCAAGAGGGTTGCAAGTATGAATTTAGAATCAGAGCAAAGAATGCAGCTGGAGCAATAAGTCCACCCTCTGAACAAACTGATACCCTTGTGTGCATGGATGAATATGGTAAGACTCATTTACACTTTCTAGTTGATACATCTTGAATAAATGACGTTCCATGTCATCTAATCTAGGAAATTGCTGTGCTGATTAGTTTGTTATTATTTTGCAGCGGCACCAACCATTATAATTGATCCAACAGTCAAGGAGGGGCTAACTGTCAGGGCTGGAGATACTATTGTAATTACTGCAACAAGCATTCTGGGCAAACCTCAGCCAACCTCTGTGTGGTCAAAGGGTGGAAAGTATTTCAAGCCATCAGATGTGTGCCAGATAGAAACTACACCTTCTTCTTCTACTCTTTCTATCAAGTATGCAAGTAGGAAGGATTCAGGAGAGTACACAATTACAGCAAGTAACCCATTTGGTGTGAAAGAAGAAATTGTGAAAGTAACAATTTTAGATGTTCCCGGTCCACCAGGGCCAATTGAAGCTAGTGGAATTTCATCTGAAAAGGTCACTTTGACATGGACACCACCTCATGAGGATGGGGGATCTCCAATTAAATACTACACTTTGGAGAAAAGAGAAACAAGCCGTCTCCTTTGGACCATTCTTGCTGAAAAAATTATTGACTGCCACTTTGTTGCCAATAAGCTTATCCAGGGAAATGAATACATCTTCAGAGTTTCTGCTGTCAACAGTTCTGGAGCTGGTGATGCTTCCCACTCTGAACCAGTAAAAATGGTGGATAGCTATGGTATGTTTAAAGAAAACTCAGTCTCTCATATATTATTTCCATACTGTTCGTTTGTGTGAATCTGCATAGCTGGATATATATATGCAATAAGATTCTCAAGAGACATATTACTTATTTCAGGTCCCCCTGGTTCGCCAGCTAAACCAGAAATTGAAAATGTTGGTGGAAATTCTGTTACCATTGCTTGGAAAAGACCAGCTGATGACGGTGGAAGTGATATAATAGGCTACATGGTTGAGAGGAAAGAAAAGAAGGGCATGAGATGGACTCGAGCATCAAAGAAAACAATTGCTGACCTCCACTTTGAAGTGAAAGGGCTAAAAGAGGGAGATGAATATGAATTCAGAGTAACTGCTGAGAATAAGGCTGGTTTTGGTGAGCCAAGTGAACCTTCAATGCCAGTGAGGACAAAGCTTGTTGCAGGTAAGTAAAGTGATTATTTTATATTTGATATGATAGCAAAGAAGGTCCTAATATATATGTTATCAATTTCCAGATGTACCTGGTCCTCCAGTCAACCCAAGAGTCACTGACACAACAAAAACCACAGCTGAATTGCACTGGGGCAAACCACTTAGTGATGGTGGAATGGAAGTTACAGGATACCTTGTTGAGCACAAAAAGGAGGGAGAAGAAGAATGGGTGAAAGATACAGCTACACCTTTGAGGATCACTGAGTTTGTTGTCCCCAGTTTGCAAGCTGGAGTGAAGTATAATTTTAGAATTAGTGCAATGAATGTAATGGGGGTTAGTGAACCATCACAAACAGAGGATCTTGTTGAAATTGTGGAACGTGAAGAAATCCCTGATTTAGAGCTAGATGTAGAACTCAGAAGAACGTTAGTTGTTAGGGCAGGTGCCTCTATTCGTTTATTTATTCCTATTAAAGGACGCCCAACCCCTATAGTGACTTGGACAAAAGAGGACACACCATTGAAAACTCGCGCAATCATCGACAATACCGAATCATACACCCTGTTGGTCATTCCCGACTGTAATAGACGCGACGCAGGGAAATATGATTTAACATTAGAGAACACTGCTGGCAAGAAGACTGTTTCTGTGGTTGTAAGGGTTTTGGACTCCCCTGGTCCTCCTCTCAATCTGAAACCCAAAGCAATTGACAAAGAGAGCATCACATTGGAATGGGAAATGCCTATTATTGATGGAGGTTCTAAAATTACCAATTACATCATTGAGAAGAGAGAATCTACTCGCAAGGCATATGCTGCTGTGATCACACAATGTGAGCCATGCTCCATCGGAGTTTCCGATCTGGCAGAGGGTTTGGAATATTATTTCAGAGTTTCTGCTGAAAATGAGTATGGCATTGGTGAAGCAGTTGAAACCCCAGACCCAATCAGAGTATCTCAAGCACCAACTCCACCAGAAAATGTAACTTTTACTGATGTTACAAAGCACACAGTTAGGCTTGCATGGACTAAACCAAAACATGATGGTGGAAGTAGGGTTACTGGGTATGTAATTGAAGCACAAAAGAAAGGAACAGACCAGTGGGCCCATGTGACAACTGTGAAGTCTTTGGACTTTACTGTAAAAAATCTTAATGAAAATGAAGAGTACATATTCCGTGTAATGGCGGTGAACAATTCTGGGCGAAGTTGTCCTCGTGTAAGCAAGCCTGTTGTTATCAAAGAACAAAGTTCAGAACCAGAATTTGATCTCCGTGGTGTGTGTCAGAAGATAGTTATTGCCAAGGCTGGTGAAGATATAAAGGTTGAGGTGCCTGTTTCTGGACGTCCTAAGCCTACAGTTTCCTGGCAGAAAGACAATCAAGCCCTCAAATTAACACAAAGGACAATGATTGAAAATACTTCTACCTCAACTATCTTGATCATAAATGAATGTTTAAGGAGTGACAGTGGAATATACTCAATGACAGGAAAGAACATCGTGGGCTCTGTTACAGATAGCATCACAGTAAAAGTACATGATTTGCCTGGACCACCAAAGGGACCAATTAAACTGGACAAAATATCTCGTACTTTCATTGAGTTCTCATGGGAAGCTCCTGAAAATGATGGAGGTGTACCAATCAATAACTATATAGTAGAAATAAGGGAAACTACTAGCCAGACATGGGTAGAACTCTCCTCTTTGATTATTCGTACAACATTTAAAGCAACTCGTTTAACAACAGGAATTGAATATCAATTCCGTGTCAAGGCCAAAAACAGATATGGTACAGGGCCTCCATTAATGTCAGAGGCAGTGGTTGCTGCATATCCATTTAAGGTACCTGGGCCACCTGGAACACCCAAAGTTGTCACTTTCACTAAGGATACAATGACAATTGGTTGGAATGAGCCTGTTTCTGATGGTGGAAGTGAGGTCATTGGTTACCATGTTGAAAGGAAAGAGAGGAACAGTATTGTTTGGCACAGAATTAGCAAGGCACTTGTGATTGGAAATCTGTTCAAATCCACAGGACTAGAGGATGGTGTGGCATATGAATTCCGTGTGATTGCTGAAAACATAGCTGGAACTGGAAAACCAAGCAAAGCTTCTGAACCAATGCTCGCTCTTGATCCAGTGGATCCACCTGGTCAACCTGTACCAATCCATGTGTCCAAAAATGCCATTACTATTCAGTGGCCGAAGCCAGAGTATGATGGCGGATTCAAGATTACTGGCTATACTGTCGAAAAGAGAGATCTTTCAGCTGGGCGCTGGATGAGAGCTAACTTTACAAATATACTTGAAACCACTTTCACTATAAGTGGTCTAACACAAGACGAATCCTATGAATTCCGTGTACTTGCAAGAAATTCAGCTGGTGCTGTTAGTAACCCATCAGACCCATCAGATCCAATTATTTGCAAAGATGACATTGAAGAACCAAGGATTATGGTTGATGCTAAATTTAAAGATATTGTCCTTGTCAAAGCTAGAGAGGTGTTCAGACTTGAAGCTGATGTTGCAGGCCAGCCATTACCATCTATGGTTTGGACGAAAGATGGAAAAGATGTTGAAAACACATCCAAACTACAGATCAAAATGACAGAACTTACATCAGTCTTGATCAACAAGGATTCTGTCAGAAGGGATGGTGGTAAATTTATTCTGACAGCAACAAATGTTGGTGGCTTTGCTAAGCATGTTTTCAATGTAAAGGTTCTTGATAGACCAGGACCACCTAGGGGACCTCTGACAGTTTCCGATATTACAGCTGAAAAATGTGTGCTAACATGGAATCCACCTGCAGATGATGGCGGTGCAAACATTGAACATTATGTTATTGAAAAACGTGAGTCAAGCAGACTTGCTTGGACAAATGTGGCATCAGAATTGCAGGTTAATCAGTACCAAGTGACAAAGTTGCTCAAAGGAAATGAATACATTTTCAGAGTTATGGCTGTTAACAAGTATGGTGTTGGAGAACCTCTTGAGTCTGAAGCAATAATTGCAGAAAATCCATATGTACGACCAGATCCTCCACAAACACCTGAGATAACAGCGGTCACTAAGGATTCAGTAGTCCTGTGTTGGGGTGCACCTGCTAGTAATGGTGGAAGTGAAATCACCAACTATCGTATTGAGAAAAGAGACAGGATTAGTTTGCGTTGGGTAAAATGCAACAAGAGGAATGTTACTGACTTGCATTTCAAGGTGACTGCTCTTGTTCCAGGCCATGAATATGAATTCAGAGTTTTTGCTGAAAATGCAGCAGGAATAAGTGAGTCAAGTCCTTCATCACCATTTGTCAAGGCCACAGATGCTCTTTTCAAACCAGGTCCTCCTGGCAACCCTAGAGTCCTGGACACAACAAGTTCTTCCATCACGCTTGCATGGAACAAACCAGTTTATGATGGTGGTTCTGAAATTACTGGCTATATTCTTGAGACCTGTCTCCCTGGAACTGAAGAGGACGAATGGACAATTGTCTCCCCTAAAGATGGTGTAAAGGGGACATCATTTACAATCACGAATCTTAAAGAAAATCAGGAATACAAAATGAATGTGTCAGCTGTAAACAGCGAGGGTATTGGAGAAGCAGCACCTGTACCAGGTTCACCTAAAGCAGAGGAACGACTCATACCACCAGAGGCTGACCTTGATGCTGAACTTCGTAAGATAGTGAACATCAGAGCATGCAATACACTAAGACTTTTTGTGCCAATTAGAGGTAGACCAACACCAGAGGCCAAATGGTCAAGAGAGAATGATGAACCTTTAGACAGAGCTACCATTGAAACAACGTCATCTTTTACATCACTGGTTATTGCCAATGTGAATAGGTTTGACAGTGGCAAATACAATTTGACTGTAGAAAACAGCTCTGGAACAAAGACTGTCTCTGTAATAGTTAGAGTTCTAGATACACCTGGAGCACCACAAAACTTAAAAATAAGCCAGGTCACTAAAGAATCTGTTTCACTTGTTTGGGATCCTCCACTTAATGACGGTGGCACAAAAATTAAGAATTATATTGTTGAGAAGCGTGAGGCTACAAGAAAAGCATATGCTACAGTAAATGCCAATTGTCACAAAACTACTTACACAGTTGACCAGCTCCAAGAAGGATGCAACTACTATTTCAGAGTTCTGGCAGAAAATGAATATGGCATTGGTCTCCCTATGGAGACTGGTGAATCTGTTAAAGTGTCTGAGAAGCCACTTCCCCCTGGCAAAATTACACTTCAGGATGTTACAAAGACAAGTGTGACATTATCATGGGAAAAGCCTGAACATGATGGAGGAAGCAGAGTGGTTGCATATGTTGTAGAGATGCAGAGCAAAGGGAATGAAAAATGGACACAAGCTGTGATTGTCAAGGTACCCGAAGCAGTTATTACTGGGCTTGCACCTGGTGAAGAGTATATGTTCCGTGTTTCTGCAAGGAATGAAAAGGGAACCAGTGATCCTCGTCAAATTGGTGTGCCTGTGATTGCCAAGGACCTTGTATTTGCTCCATCTGCTAAGATGTTGTTCTCCACATTTAGTGTCCTGGCAGGAGAGGATTTGACAGTTGATATTCCATATAATGCTCGTCCCAAAGCTACTATTTCATGGCTAAAGGAAACAGTTCCACTTAAACGAACAACCAGAGTTAACTTTTCCTCTACGGATACACAGCTGAATTTAGTAATCAAAGAAGCATGTAGAGATGATGTTGGCCAGTATAGTATTAAACTATCAAATACAGCTGGTGAGACAAAAGTAGACATTAGAATTGTTGTTCTTGACAAACCTGGTCCACCAACAGGCCCTGTTAAAGTTGATGAAGTAACATCTGACAGTGTTAGCATTTCTTGGAAGCCACCAGAGTATAACGGGGGCTGCACCATTAATAATTACATAGTAGAAAAGAGGGACACATCCACAACTAATTGGCAGATTGTAGCAGCAAATCTAGCAAGAACTCAAATTAAGGCAGGAAGACTGAAGGCAGGCTCTGAATATCAATTCAGAATTGCAGCAGAGAATAGATATGGCAAAAGCCCTCTGCTTGTGTCTGAATGTGTTGTTGCACAGTACCCGTACAAACTACCGGGCCCTCCTGGAACACCTTTCTTGCAGTCTTCCACAAAAGATAGTATGGTGATAGTGTGGAATGAACCTGTTATTGATGGTGGAAGCACAGTCTTAGGATATCACCTTGAGCGAAAAGAGAGAAATAGCATTCGTTGGATGAAACTAAACAAAAGCATAATCCAAGACACAACTTTCAAGACAACAGGTCTTGAAGAAGGCATGGAATATGAATTCAGAGTTTATGCTGAAAACATTGTTGGCATCGGGAAGGCTAGTAAGATCTCAGAGGGCTATACTGCTAGAGATCCTTGTGATCCTCCTGGAACACCAGAAGCAGTTAGAATAACAAAGAATTCTATTGCAATTGCATGGACCAAGCCAGAGTATGATGGTGGAAGCAAAGTCACTGGATATATTGTAGAAAAGAAAGAATTGCCTGCAGGACGCTGGATGAAAGCAAACTTCACCAATGTCATAGAGACTGAGTATACTGCAACAGGTCTTACAGAGGACGAGAAATATGAGTTCCGTGTCATTGCAAGAAATGCTGCTGGAGTTTTCAGTGATCCTTCATATAGTACTGGACCTATCGTGGCAAAAGATGAGATTGAACCACCGCGTATCAGCATAGATCCAGAGTACACTCAAACAATTGTTGTAAATGCAGGAGACAACTTCAAGATTGATGCAGATATTCATGGAAAACCAACACCATCAATCTGTTGGATGAAGGGTGAGCAGGAACTTGGAAACACCATATCTCATGAAATTAAAAGCGCAGATAGCTATACCTGTTTGACTGTTAAGGAAGCCAAACTTGCTGATGGAGGTCAATATACTCTACTGCTGAAAAATCCAGGAGGAGAGAAAACTGTACAGGTCAATATTTGTGTCCTAGATAAGCCTGGACCACCAGAGGGATCCATCTCTATTACAGGTGTAACCAGTGAACATTGCTGCCTTTCTTGGAAACCACCTAAACAAGACGGTGGCAGCAAGATCACTCATTATATTGTTGAAAGGAGAGAGACTAGCAGACTACTTTGGACAGTTGTTGAACCCAAAGTCCAAGCTCTAAACCTTAAAATAATGAAACTCCTAGAAGGAAATGAATATATTTTCAGAGTTTTTCCAGTAAACAAATTTGGTGTTGGTGAGCCCCTCCAATCAAGTGCAGTTGTTATCAAGAATCCATTTACACCTCCAGATGCACCAAAAGGAATGGAAGTATCTAATGTCAAGAAAGATTCAATGGTCATAACATGGGAGGCCCCAACAAATGATGGCGGTACTCCTATCACTGGTTATATTATTGAGAAACATGACAAGGAAGGCATTAGATGGACCAGATGCAACATGAAAACAGTTACTAACCTCACATTTAAAGTTACTGGACTCCTGGAGAACCACCGCTACGAATTCAGAGTTTATGCTGAGAATGCTGCTGGAGTTAGTGAGGCAAGTTCTGCAACTGTATTCTATAAAGCCCTAGATCCTGTATTCAAGCCAGGTCCACCACTTAATCCAAAAGTGTTAGACATGACCAAATCATCTGTTGTACTTGCATGGGGAAAGCCTATTTATGATGGTGGCTGTGAAATCCAGGGATATATTGTTGAGGCATGTGTAGCAAAAGCAGCCATAGAGGACATAAAGATTCCAGGAGAAGAAGGAAAGGCAGTTGCAGATGAATGGACAATGTGCACACCACCAGCAGGCGTTAAACTGACACGCTTTAATGTGGAAAATCTGAAAGAAAAGCAGGAATATAAATTCAGGGTTTGTGCAGTTAACAAGCTTGGTGTTGGGGAGCATGCTGATGTTGCAGGGCCCATTCTGCCAGAGGACAAAACTGAGGAACCAGATCTTGATATTGATGCTGAGTTTAGAAAGCTTGTACGTATTAAAGCAGGAGGTTCTCTTAGGATGTTCATCCCTTTCAAAGGAAGACCAACACCACAAATCAAATGGGAAAAAGATGGTGGGCAGATTAAGGAAACAGCACAGACTGAGACCACCAGCAGTCACACTTCTCTTGTGATTGATAAAGTCAACAGGGCAGACAGTGGCAAATATATTGTTACTGCAGAAAACTCTGCTGGTGCAAAATCTGAAACAATTATTGTGAAAGTCCTTGACACACCAAGCGCTCCAATCAACTTCAAAGTTAAAGAAATTACAAAAGAATCTGTTACTCTTACATGGGAGCCTCCAAGTTTAGATGGTGGAGCAAAGATAAAAAATTATATTGTTGAAAAACGTGAGAGCACAAGAAAAACATTCTCTGCCGTTGTCACAAATTGCCACAAACTTTCTTGGAAAGTTGAAACACTTCAAGAAGGCTGCAGTTACTATTTCAGAGTGCTTGCGGAAAATGAACATGGTATAGGGCTACCTGCAGATATCACAGATCCTTTGAAGGTTTCAGAGGTGCCACAATGTCCTGGAAAATTAAGTGTTGTAGATGTTACTAAAACAAGTGTGTCTCTTTCTTGGGAAAAGCCCGTTCATGATGGTGGCAGTAGAATTCTTCAATACCTTGTAGAAATGCAGGTCAAGGGTAGTGATAAATGGTCTGGATGTGCCAATGTAAAAACACTGGAAGCTGTAATCAGTCATTTGATCCCTGGAGAAGAGTACACTTTCAAAATAATTGCTATCAATGAAAAAGGAAAGAGTGACCCAAGAACACTTGCTGTCCCCGTGCAAGCAAAGGACCTTGTCTTTGGGCCTGATGTAAGACCTGCGTTTAGCAACTACAGTGTTCTTGTCGGAAAGGACCTTCAAGTTGAAATCCCAGTTTCTGGTCGTCCAAAGCCAAAGGTCACATGGACAAAGGATGGTGCAGCCCTCAAATTCACAACAAGGGTTAATATTTCTAATACAGCACACAGCACTGTTCTTAGCATCAAAGAAGCAGCCAGAGAAGATGGTGGAATGTATGGAATGAACGTGTCCAATGCTGTTGGACAAAAGGATGCAACCATTGAAATCATCACTCTTGATAAACCTGGCCCACCAACTGGCCCTGTGCGATTTGATGAGATAACTGTTTCAAGCATTACATTGTCATGGGATGCTCCAAAGTATACTGGTGGTTGCCCAATTTCAAATTATATTGTGCAAAAGAGAGATACAACTTCTACAACATGGGAGAATGTTGCAATTTCATTAGCAAGAACAAAATTTAAAGTACTACGACTGAAGACCGGTGCTGAATATCAATTCAGAATCATTGCTCAGAACAGGTATGGCAAGAGCTATGCTCTGGACTCTTTGACTGTTGTTGCTCAGTATCCATATAGAGAACCAGGACCACCAGGAACTCCATTTGTATCATGCCTATCAAAGGACCATATGGTTGTTGAGTGGAATGAGCCCATTTCAGATGGAGGCAGCAGCATTATTGGATATCATCTTGAAAGGAAGGAGAGAAACAGCATTATTTGGACAAAGATAAATAAGACACTGATTCAAGAAACAAAATTCAAAACCAGTCCTTTAGAGGAAGGTGTTGAATATGAGTTCAGAGTATATGCTGAAAATATCGTTGGCATTGGCAGATGCAGCAAAATCTCAGAGGGCTTTGTTGCTCGTGATCCATGTGATCCTCCTGGAACCCCAGAAGCTGTCCATGTGACTAAAAATTCAATAACTATCCAATGGACAAAACCAGAGTATGATGGTGGAAGTGTTATCACTGGTTATACTGTTGAGAAACGTGATCTTCCTGAAGGACGCTGGATGAAAGCAAGTTTCACAAATGTTATTGAAACCAATTTTACTGTCACTGGGCTGACAGAAGGTGCCAAGTACGACTTCAGGGTAATTGCAAAGAATGCAGTTGGCACTATCAGCAAACCATCATACAACAGTGGACCTATTGCTGCATTGGATGAGGTAGAGCCACCAAAGTTCTCAATTGACCCAGAATACACTCAGACTCTAATTGTGAATGCAGGTGATACATTCAAACTTGATGCTGATGTCCATGGTAAGCCACTTCCTGCAATCCAGTGGTTTAAGAATGACAAGGAGCTTGAAAACACAATTAGATGTGACATCAAGAACACTGACAACAGAGCATTGATAATAGTGAAAGATGCGGTCAGACAAGATGGTGGAAACTACACTCTTCAGCTCACTAATGTTGCTGGATCTCAGACTGTTCAATTCCATGTGAAAGTACTTGATAAACCAGGTCCACCAGAAGGGCCTCTTCATGTCACAGGCGTGTCCAGTGATAAATGCACACTGATATGGCATGCTCCGCTAGATGATGGAGAACCCCAGAAGCTGTCCATGTGACTAAAAATTCAATAACTATCCAATGGACAAAACCAGAGTATGATGGTGGAAGTGTTATCACTGGTTATACTGTTGAGAAACGTGATCTTCCTGAAGGACGCTGGATGAAAGCAAGTTTCACAAATGTTATTGAAACCAATTTTACTGTCACTGGGCTGACAGAAGGTGCCAAGTACGACTTCAGGGTAATTGCAAAGAATGCAGTTGGCACTATCAGCAAACCATCATACAACAGTGGACCTATTGCTGCATTGGATGAGGTAGAGCCACCAAAGTTCTCAATTGACCCAGAATACACTCAGACTCTAATTGTGAATGCAGGTGATACATTCAAACTTGATGCTGATGTCCATGGTAAGCCACTTCCTGCAATCCAGTGGTTTAAGAATGACAAGGAGCTTGAAAACACAATTAGATGTGACATCAAGAACACTGACAACAGAGCATTGATAATAGTGAAAGATGCGGTCAGACAAGATGGTGGAAACTACACTCTTCAGCTCACTAATGTTGCTGGATCTCAGACTGTTCAATTCCATGTGAAAGTACTTGATAAACCAGGTCCACCAGAAGGGCCTCTTCATGTCACAGGCGTGTCCAGTGATAAATGCACACTGATATGGCGTGCTCCACTAGATGATGGAGGAAACACTATCACTCATTACATTATTGAGAGACGTGAGACAAGTCGACTTGCTTGGACTGTGGTCTGTAATGATTGCAAAACTACAACATACAAAGTGACAAAGCTCCTGGAAGGTAATGAATATATATTCCGTGTCATGGCTGCAAACAGTTACGGTATTGGTGAGCCATTTGAAGCACCATCCGTAATAATGAAAGATCCATTTAGTCACCCTGGATCACCACAAATGATTGAGGTAACAAATATTGCAAAGGACTCTATGACTATTTGCTGGAGTACTCCAGATACTGATGGTGGAAGTGAAATTATTGGATACATTATTGAGAAGAGAGACAGATCTGGAATTAGATGGACAAGATGCAACAGACAAAAAGTAACTGATGTATGCTTCAGAGTGCATGGCCTAATTGAGGATCATGAGTATGAATTCAGAGTGTCAGCTGAAAATTCAGCTGGAATTGGAGAACCAAGCTTGCCAACTTCGTACTACAAGGCTTGTGATCCCAAATACAAACCTGGCCCACCTATGCATGCACATGTTGTTGATACCACCAAGACTTCAATTACAGTGGCATGGGGAAAACCCCTTAATGATGGAGGATGTGCAATTCAAGGATATATTGTAGAGATCTGCAAAGCTGAAGAGGAAGAATGGACTATGTGCACTCCCCCTACTGGCTTACGTGTCAACAAATTTGAAATCGCTAAGCTAACAGAACAAAAAGAATATAAAATTCAAATATGTGCCATCAATAAATTAGGTGTTGGAGAACCTGCAGTCATTCCAGGAACTGCCAAGCCTGAGGACAAGCTGGAGACCCCTGAAATTCACCTGGATTCAGAGCTAAGGAAAGGCATTGTTGTTCGTGCTGGGGGATCAGTAAGAATCAATGTACCATTCAAAGGTAGACCAATACCAGATATCAAATGGACTAAAGATGAAGGTGAACTGTCAGAAAAGACAGTGCTTGAAAAGAGTTTTAACTTCACCCAGCTTTCAATTGACTCCTGTGATAGAAGGGATTCTGGAAAATACACAGTTACTCTACAGAACAGCAGTGGCTCTGTCTCTGAATTTGTGGCTGTTAAAGTGTTAGATACACCTGGAGCACCACTAAACCTTGTAGTTAAGGATATCAAGAAGGACTCTGTTACACTTGTTTGGGAACCACCACTTATTGATGGAGGTGCAAAGATCAAGAATTATATTGTTGACAAGCGTGAATCCACAAGAAAAGCCTATGCAAATATAACAACCAAGTGTAGCAAAACAACTTATAAGGTAGAAAATCTTGCAGAAGGGGCCATGTATTATTTCAGAGTAATGGCTGAAAATGAATATGGTGTTGGTTTGCTGGTTGAAACAAAAACTGCTTCAAAGGCATCTGAAGTACCTCAGCCAGTTGGAAAGGTGATGCCGACAGATGTGACAAAAGTCAGTGCATCTCTGACCTGGGAAAAGCCAGAGCATGATGGAGGTAGTAGGATTGCAGGCTACTTAATTGAAATGCAGCCAAAAGGTACTGACAAATGGGGTGTAGCAGCAAATGTAAAAACGTGTGAAGGAACAGTCACTGGACTGACTGGCGGTCAGGAATATTTGTTCCGTGTTTTGGCATACAATGAGAAAGGCAAAAGCGAGCCAAAGCCCCTTGCTGCTCCAGTTATTGCCAATGACCTCACAATTGAACCAAGCCTAAAATTGCAGTTCAACACATATAGTGTCAAATCTGGAAAGGATTTCAAACTTGAAATACCTATTTTTGGACGTCCAAAACCAAAGATCACTTGGTCAAAGGATGGACAGTCACTTAAAGTAACATCCAGAGTTACTACTTCCAATACACCAACATCCACAATCCTGCAAATTACTGAAGCCTGTAAAGATGACCTTGGAAAGTATACAGTTACTGCAACAAACAGTGTTTGTGCAGTTAAAGAAGATATCAGTATCATAATCCTGGATAAACCTGGTCAACCCACAGGACCAATAAAAGTGAATGAAGTGAGCAACAATTCTGTTTCCATCTCATGGGAACCTCCGGAGTATACAGGAGGCTGCCAAGTAAAGCATTACATTGTTGAAAAGCGAGACACCACTGAAACTACTTGGCAAGTTGTTGCTGGATCAGTTGCTAGGACATCTCTCAAAATTACCAAGCTGAAAACAGGTGCTGAGTATCAGTTTAGAGTCGTTGCTGAGAACAGATATGGTAAGGGTGCTCCTTTGGATTCAAAGACCATTGTTGTGCAATATCCTTACAAACCACCTGGGCCACCTGGTACTCCATATGTGAAATCTGCCACCAAGGATCAAATGATAATTGAGTGGAATGAACCAGTCAGTGATGGTGGCAGTTCAGTGTTTGGATACCATCTTGAGAGCAAAGAAAGAACAAGTATTCTATGGACAAAACTAAACAAAACCCTTATTACTGATACTGTTTTCAAAATATGCAATCTTGAAGAAGGCATTGGATATGAATTTAGGGTATATGCTGAAAACATTGTTGGTATTGGCAGAGCAAGCAAAGTTTCAGAGAGCTTTGTTGCCCGTGACCCATGTGATCCACCCGGAACACCTGAGGCTGTTGGAATATCAAAGGACCACATTAAGATTCAGTGGACAAAGCCTCAATATGATGGTGGCAGCAAAGTGACTGGATATATTGTTGAGAGAAGAGATTTGCCTGAGGGCAGATGGATGAGGGCAAATTTTACCAATGTAATTGAGAAAGAATTTACAATCACAGGCTTAACAGTAAACAATCGATATGAATTTAGAGTAATTGCAAGAAATGCAGTGGGTGTCTTCAGTGAGCCTTCAGACAGCACTGGACCAATTACTGCTACAGATGAAATTGAACCTCCTAGTGTTTCAATGGATCCTAAGTATAAGGATGTAATTGTTGTCAATGCTGGAGCCAACATAGTTTTGGATGCAGATATACATGGTAAACCCACACCTGATATTCAGTGGCTAAAAGAAGGAAAGGAAATGGATAAGACATTGCGTATTGAATTAAGAAGTACACAAAAATATGCTTCTATTACAATAAAAGATTGTACAAGATTGGATGGTGGACACTATGACCTTATATTAAGCAACAGTGGTGGAACAAAAACAATTCCAATAACAGTAAAAGTTCTTGACAGGCCAGGTCCACCAACCGGACCACTACGAGTGACTGGCGTCATGTCTGACAAATGTCATCTGTCCTGGTCTGAGCCCTCTCAGAATGGTGGAGCTAATATTTCTCATTACATCCTTGAGAAAAGGGAAACTAGCAGACTATCATGGACTGTTGTTGATTCTAACATTCCTACTGTGAATTATAAAGTGACCAAGCTCTTGCCAGGTGATGAGTATATCTTTAGAGTTATGGCTGTCAACAAATATGGCATTGGTGAACCTCTGGAATCTGAGGCAATTATTGCACGCAATCCATACAAGCCACCAGGTGCGCCATCAACACCAGAAGCAAGTGAGATAACAAAGGATTCAATAACTCTATCATGGAATGCCCCAGAGAGCAATGGTGGAGCAGAAATTACGGGTTATCACTTAGAGAAGCGTGACAAAGATGGTGTGAGGTGGACAAAATGCAACCGACAGAAGCTGACCAATCTGCATTTCAAAGTAACTGGTCTGTCAGAGGGACATTTCTATGAGTTCCGTGTGTCTGCTGAAAATGAATCTGGTGTGGGAGAATTTAGTGACCTATCTCTATTTTATAGAGCAATAAATGCCACAACTCCCCCAGGTCCACCTCATCATCCTAAAGTGACAGATCACACAAGCTCATCTGTCTCTCTGTCTTGGGGAAAACCTGCTACAGATGGTGGTGCATATATTAAAGGTTATATTGTTGAGATGAAAGATGTTTCTTCAGAGGAATGGATCATATGCACACCTCCAGCTGGTATTCAAGCAACACGCCTCACAGTTGAAAACCTGAAGGAAAATGTTGAATATAATTTCCGTGTTTGTGCAATTAATTCTGAAGGAGTTGGTGAACCTGCTGATGTTCATGGATCTGTGACTGCATCTGAAAAGATTGAAGCACCTGAAATTGAACTTGATGCTGACCTCAGGAAAGTTGTCTCTGTTCGTGCAGGAGGATCCCTTCGTCTTTTCATTACAATTAGAGGTCGACCTGAGCCATCCATCAAATGGGAAAAGGAGGATGGGACTCTAACTGAGCGTGCTCAGATTGAGTCAACCAGTTCATACACCATGCTTGTAATTGACAATGTCAATAGATTTGACAGTGGAAAATATGTCTTGACTCTTGAGAACAAGAGTGGCACAAAATCAGCATTTGTTAATGTCAGGGTGCTTGATACACCAAGTTCTCCACAGAAGTTTGAAGTGAAAGATGTAAAGAAAGATTCAGTGACTCTCTGCTGGTACCCACCACTTACAGATGGTGGGGCTAAAATAACCAATTATGTTGTTGAGAAGCGAGAATCTACAAGGAAAGCTTATACAACTGTCACAAGCAACTGCACACAGACGTCCTTTAAAGTGGATGAACTGCAGGAAGGAGGCATTTTCTACTTCCGTGTATGTGCTGTTAATGAGTATGGCTTTGGTGTGATGGCAGAAACAAAGAATCCTATTAAGGTTGCACAGGTACCTATGCCTCCAGGAAAAGTAACTCTTGTGGATGTCACAAAGAATTGTGTTACACTTACTTGGGTTAAGCCTGTCCACGATGGAGGCAGTAAAATCATCTGCTACAATGTAGAGATGCAACCCAAGAGTAGTGACAAATGGGGTGTAAGCTGCACAGTTAAGGTTCCAGAGGCTACTGTGAGCAACCTCACGCCTGGTGAAACATACTCATTCAGGGTTATAGCATTGAATGAGAAGGGCAAGAGTGAGCCTCAAGAACTTGGTGTACCTGTTGTAGCTAAAGATATTGAGATTGAACCCTCTGTTCACCTGCTGTTCAATACATACAGTGTTAAGGCTGGAGATGATCTTACTGTGGAAGTTCCTGTGAGAGGCAGGCCTAAGCCAGTTGTCTCTTGGAAGAAGGATGGCCTTCCTTTGAGGCAAACAACCTCTCTTTCAATTGTCAACACGATGGTGTCAAGTAAAATCGTCATCAAAGAAGCTGCTATTGAGCATGTTGGTAAATATGAAATCAGCCTTGCTAATACAGCAGGCACCAAGTCCACAGACATTGGTGTTGTTGTTCTTGATGAACCTGGGCCACCAGCTTCCGTGAAGGTTGATGCTGTGACTTCTGACAGTATTACATTGTCATGGGCCCCTCCAGAATATGATGGTGGATGCTCCATCAATAATTACATTGTTGAGAAGAGAGATACTAACACAACAGAGTGGCAGATTGTTTCAACAAATGTTGCCAGAACCTCAGTCAAAGTACCTCGATTGACACAGGGTTCTGAGTACCAGTTACGCATCTATGCAGTGAATCGCTATGGAAAGGGTAAGCCAATTGACTCTCCAGGAATTACTGCAGAGTACACATTCAAACAGCCTGGGCCACCTTCTACACCCCGTGTAGCTCATGCCACCAAGGTCTTCATGCTTGTCACATGGAATGAGCCAGTTAATGATGGTGGTAGCACAGTCCTTGGCTATCATTTAGAACGCAAGGAGAGAAGCAGTATTTTTTGGACAAAGGTGAACAGGACAATTATCAAGGATACTGAATTCAAAGTAACTGGCATTGAGGAAGGCATGACATATGAATTCCGTATCTATGCTGAAAATATTGCTGGAATTGGGAAAGCAAGCAAAGCCAGTGAGCCCATAGCTGCACGAGATCCTTGTGATCCTCCTAGTCAGCCTGTAGTAACTAGCATTACCAAATCCTCTGTATCTCTTTTTTGGACAAAGCCTGAGTATGATGGTGGAGCCAAAGTTACTGGCTACATAATTGAACGTAGAGATCTCCCAGAGGGTCGCTGGATAAGATGCAATTTTACTAATGTTATAGAGACTTGTTTTGATGTTACTGGCCTAACATTGGATGAGAAGTATGATTTCCATGTCATCGCAAAGAATGCTGCTGGACTATTCAGTGAGCCATCTGACAACACTGGTCCTATTACAGTTAAAGATAATGTAGATCCACCACGTATTATGATGGATGTCAAGTTCAAGGATGTTGTGGTAGTAAAAGCTGGGGATACCCTGAAGATTAATGCTGACATTGCAGGGCGCCCACTTCCAGTTGCATCTTGGTTAAAGGATGGGCGTGAAATTGAACAGAAGGCAAGAATTCAGATAACTGGAACAGATACTAGTACTATGATAGTAGTTAAAGACTGCAAAAGGAGTGATTCTGGACAGTATGCTTTGACTTTACAGAATGTTGCAGGAAGTGTCACGACACCAGTAAACTGTGTTATTCTGGATAAACCAGGACCTTCAGCAGGACCACTATCAGTAACAGGCCTCACAGCAGAGGAATGCACATTGTCATGGGGACCACCACAAGAAATTGGTGGCTCTGAAATAACACATTATGTTCTTCAGAAACGAGAGACCAGTCGATTGGCATGGACACTTGTACATGGAGAGGTCAAAACCACAACATTCAAGGTCACTAAGCTCCTAAAAGGAAATGAGTACATATTCAGAGTATTAGCTGTCAACAAGTTTGGACTTGGTGAAGCCCTTGAAAGTGAAATGGTCAAGGTCACTGAACCATACACTATCCCTGCAGCTCCAACAAATGTTGAAATTACAAGCGTGACCAGTGAGGAAATGAGGCTAACATGGGCAAAGCCTGCATCTGATGGAGGCAGTGAGATCCTTGGATATGTAATTGAAAGGCGAGATAAATCTGGTCTTCGCTGGGTCCGTGTGAACAGGGACATTGTGAAAGACCTAACAGCTGTGATATCAAAAGTAAGAAGAGGATGTGAGTATGAGTTTAGAGTTTATGCTGAAAATGCAGCAGGCTTGAGTCTAGCCAGTGACCCATCTCCTTCAGCAAGGGCAGAGGATGAACTTTTGGTACCATCCCCACCAACTAAACCTAAGATTCTGGATCATACCAAGAATTCAATTACTATTGCCTGGAAAAAGCCATTATCTGATGGTGGTGCACAGATCCTTGGATACAGTGTAGAATATAAGAAATCTGAGGATGAGGAATGGATTGTGGTTATTCAGATGACAAAAAGCAATGAATTCACAGTTTCTGGTCTTACAACTGATGTGGAGTATGTATTTGCTGTTAAAGCAGTTAACAAACTTGGTGTCAGTGAACAGTCACCTGTCTCTGAGTCACAGTCAGCAACGGAGAGAAAGGAGGAACCTGTATTTGACGTTGACATTGAGATGCGAAAAACTTTAATTGTCAAGCATGGTAATTCATTTACTTTGACGGCTCTGTTTAAAGGAAAGCCAGTACCTTCAGTTACATGGAATAAAGAGGAGGTTGATCTCAAAGCAAGGGCAAGCATAGAAACAACAGAAACATGCACATCTATTACTGTTGAGAAAGCAACAAGAAATGACTCTGGACAATACATTGTTACTTTGGACAATGGTGTTGGAACAGCATCTTTGCCAATGGTGGTCAAAGTCCTTGATAGCCCTGGACCACCAACTAATGTGAAAATTACAGAAGTCACAAAAGATTCTGCAACAGTTACTTGGGAGCCTCCAGAGAATGATGGAGGAGATGCTGTTAAGGCTTATCATGTTGAGAAACGTGAAGCAAGCAAAAAGGCCTGGGTATGCGTAACAAGCAACTGCCACAGTCTGACATACAAGGTTGAAGACTTGCAAGAAGGTGCAATTTACTATTTTAGAGTCGCTGGAGAAAATGAGTTTGGATCAGGTGTACCTGTTGAAACTAAAGATGGAACCAAGATTACAGGTAAAATCATTAAAATTTTTATTTGTCTGAAAATGAGAAAATAATAGGTTTCAGAACAAATTAATTCATTTTGTGTTTTAAATATGATTTCAACTTTGCACCAACAGAAAAACCAAGTCCACCTGCTAGACTTGGTGTTACTGCGGTAACAAAAAATAGCATCACCATTGCATGGTCAAAACCAGAGTATGATGGTGGAAGCCGAATTACCAGCTACCTCATTGATGCCCTTGGAAAGGGCCAACAGAAGTGGGTTAAATGTGCCACTGTTAAAGCCAACACCCACATAATTAAGGGCCTAAGGGAAAATGCAGAATACTTTTTCAGAGTTCGTGCTGAGAATCACGCTGGACTTAGTGAACCAAAAGAAATGATTATCCCTGTGGTTGTGAAAGATCAACTGGGTGAGTCTTAATTCATTCAATTCATTCCATGTTTATCATATTCAAATAATCTATTAATGTTGTACTTCCATTTCCTTTGAATATTATTTACAGATGCCCCTGAGTTTGATATGAAAAATTTCCCACACAACACTGTTTATGTGAGAGCAGGATCAAATCTTAAATTTGAGCTTCCTCTCTCTGGTAAACCAATGCCAAAAGTCATGATGTCAAGAGGGAATGCTCCAGTGAAGTGCGGCAAGAGATTCAGCTTTGAAGTAACCCATGAAAGTCTTAATATCAACCTCAAGGAAAGTATTGCAAGTGATGCTGGAAGATATGACATTGTTGCCTCAAACACAAGTGGAACCACCAAGATGTTTGTAAACATACTGGTCCTGGATAGACCAGGTCCTCCCGTTGGACCTATTGAAGTTAGTGATGTGGGAGAGACAAGCTTGTGTCTCAAATGGCTCCCACCTGTGTATGATGGTGGCAGTCCTGTTACAAACTATGTTGTTCTTAAACGTGAAACAAGTACTCCAGCCTGGACAGAAGTGTCATCCACAATTGCAAGAAGCTCAATTAAAGTCACCAAACTTACAAAGGGAGAAGGATACCAGTTCAGGGTTAAAGCTGAGAATCGCTTTGGCATCAGTGATCACATTGATTCTCATTCAGTTACAGTGAAGCTTCCATACAGTGAGTACCTAGATAATGTACATTCTCAATTGTTTCTAGTTATGTCTGAATTTCTGTTAAACCCCTGCTGGTCTATTGTATTTTTTAGCTATCCCTGGACCACCATCAACACCATGGCTTGGTTATGTGTCAAGGGAGAGCCTCACTGTTTGTTGGAATGAGCCAGTATTAGATGGAGGAAGCCCAGTGGTTGGATACCATGTCCAGATGAAAGAAAGAAGCAGCATTCTTTGGCAGACGGTGAACAAAACAGCAATCCCTGCAACTCAAATTAGAGTGACAAATATATGTCCTGGAATAATTTACGAATTCAAGGTAGCTGCAGAAAATGCAGCTGGTATTGGAAAGTTCAGCAAGACATCAGAAGAAGTGCTAGCAATTGATGCCTGCGGTAAGCTTAAATAATAATAAAAATAATATATAAACTAAGGAGATATGTTGTCAAGTTTCTCTGAATTTCATTTCCAATTGTTTTGTTTTAGAACCACCGGCAAATGTGAGAATTTCTGAGGTTACAAAAAATTCAATTAGCCTTGTATGGCAGAAGCCTCCATTTGATGGTGGAAGCAAAATCACTGGCTACATGGTTGAGCGAAGAGATGCTCCAAATGGCAGATGGACAAAGGCAAACTTTACCAATGTCATTGATACTAACTTCACTGTGTCAGGCTTGACTCAGGATCAGGCATATGAATTAAGGATTTTTGCCAAGAATGCAGTTGGCTCGATCAGCAACCCATCTCTAATTGCAGGACCAGTAACTTGTGTTGACATTTCTGGTAAGTTTATTGCTTCTACTTTGCTAGTTATCTTATATTATCATGTGCAGCAATACTATTCACACTTTATTACACACTTTTCTGTTTCCCCCCATTCTTAGGTGCTCCAGTAATTGACCTACCCCCAGAGTATTTGGATGTTGTGCAGTACAAAGCTGGTACATCATTCAAAATCAAAGTGGGAATATTTGCCAAACCCTTGCCAACTATTGAATGGCTTAAAGATGAAAAGGAGCTAGTGTCAAGTGCACAGCTGTCAATTGAGAACACAACTGACTCATCTTCCATCCTCATTAAGGATGCTACTCGTCTTAATACTGGAACCTATGAGCTCAAAATTAAAAATGTGTTTGGCACAGCATCTGCTTCTATCAGAATACAGATTTTAGGTATGTAATCATTTGTGTAATATATATATATATATTTATTTATTTCAATGACTTTTTCACCTTTTTATTTCCTCATTTTAAATTAAAATAATTTTCATTCTGTAAATAGACAAACCTGGACCTCCAGCTGGACACATTGAATTCAAATCAGTCACTGCTGACAAGATAACAATTGCATGGGAACCAGTGGCTGATGAAGGAGGTGCCAAATTAACTCATTACATTGTAGAAAAACGAGAGACAAGTAGAGTAGTGTGGTCCACAGTTTCTGAAGCAATGGAAGCACGTACTGTCACAGTCCAAAAGTTGGCCAGAGGAAATGAATACATATTCCGTGTCAGAGGTGTTAACAAATTTGGAGCTGGAGATGCTCTGGAGTCTGAGCCTGTAATTGCCAAAAATTCATTCGGTAAGGAGACAGTAACTGAAAGTCAAAATTATTAAACTGTATAATGTATAGTTTTGGTAAACCAGATAATGTAAGATAACAAATGCACTATTCATTAAATCAATTAATTTTTTTAGTTTCTCCTGGACAACCTTCTACACCTGAAGCAACAGATATCACCAGAACATCAATGCAAATTGTTTGGGATAAACCTAGTGTGGATGGTGGTAGCATGGTTACAGGATACTATCTGGAGAGACGTAACAAGAAGAGCCTGCGCTGGGTAAAAGTGTACAAGGACCCCATTAGTGACACCAAAGCAAAGGTCCATCATCTCACAGAAGGAAATGAATATCAGTATCGTGTATGTGCAATCAATAAAGCTGGGGAAGGTCCATACTCAGATGTTTCTGACTTCTACAAAGCTGCTGATCCAGTTGGTATGTATTACTGTATAATTTTACTGAAAAGTTAATTTTACTAAATTCATATTTAATTAAGAGTCTAACTGCTTTGACATAAAGTTCTAACCAAGCTTTGTAAATTCTCCTAAGACCCACCATGTGAACCAACTAAGCTCAAGGTAGTGGACTCGACTAAAACATCAATTACACTTGGATGGTCAAAGCCAGAGTATGATGGAGGCAGTGAAATCACCAGCTATGTTGTAGAAAAAAGAGTTGGTGAGGATGGGGAGTGGACAGTGATTAGCCATAAGGGAGAAGTGAGAACCACAGAGTATGTTGCCTCAGATCTTAAACCAGATATTGACTACTACTTCCGTGTATCTGCTGTTAATTGTGCTGGACGTGGAGACCCAATAGAAATGGAAGAGGCAGTACAAGCCAAAGACATTCTTGGTATGTATTCATGTTGAAATGCTTGTAATATCTTTGTGTATTTGACAATATTTTCCACTTGTAACAACAGCATAAATAATTTTTATTTTTATTTTGCAGAGGAAGCCCATGTTGATACGGATGTTGCAATGAGAACTCACTACATTGTGAAAGCTGGTAAAGATGTTGAAATCATGGTGCCCCTGAAAGGCAGACCTGCTCCAAGTGTCTCTTGGAAGAAGGAAGACCAGAACATTGACAATGATCCTAAATATGACATTCACAACACAGACACGTCATCGTGTCTCATAATTACACAAGTAACTCGAAACGACACTGGTAAATACACCATTAATATATCAAATGGTGTAGGAGAACCAAAGTCCTTAACTGTGTCTGTTAAAGTACAGGACACTCCAGCTGCTTGTAAGAATTTGATCTTAAAAGACGTCACTCGTGGGAAAGTTACACTTTGCTGGGGGGAGCCTCTACTGGATGGTGGCGCTGAAATTACCAATTATGTTGTTGAGAAAAGAGACTCTTCTAAGCGTACATATGCCTGTGTAACAAATAAGTGCAAGGAAACCACATGTGTAATTGAAGAACTCTCTGAGAAAGCATCATTCTTCTTCCGTGTATTAGCAGAAAATGAGAATGGAGTTGGACATCCATGTGAAACAGCAGAGCCAGTTAAAGCCACAGAGACACCAGGACCAGTCAAAGACCTTTCTATGAAAGACTCCACAAAGACTTCAGTAACACTACAATGGAACAAACCAGATTATGATGGTGGTAGCATTATTACAGACTACATAATTGAAAAGAAACTCCAAGGTCAAGAAGAATGGGCCCCTGCTGGCACAAACAAGCACTGTGAACATGAAGTTACAAAGCTTAAGGAACTCACTGAAATGTTTTTCAGAGTTTGTTCTAAGAATGAAAAGGGTACTAGTGACTTTGTTGAAATCGGATCAATTAAAGTAAAGGACTACATTATCCCACCAGAAGCAAACCTTAAAGAGTATCCTGATGGACAAATCAGTGTATGTCTGGGACACAATGTCCACATTGAATTGCCATACAAGGGTAAACCAAGACCAACCATTCTTTGGTTAAAGGACAATTTACCACTGAAGGAGAGTGAAAAAATCCGCTTCAAGAAGACTGAAAACAAAGCCACTCTAATGATAAAAAATGTGGAGAAAGAGAATGGAGGCAAATACACACTTACTCTTGACAACACATTCTTCAGAAAATCATTTCATATACAGGTTATTACCCTTGGACCACCCGCTAAACCTGTTGGACCTATCCGCTTGGATGAGGTCAGAGCAGAAAGTATAGCTATATCTTGGGATGAGCCAAATGATAATGGGGGTGGAGAAATCACTTGTTACACTGTTGAGAAACGTGACACCTCTCAGACAGACTGGAAAATGGCTTGTTCAAGTGTGATTGGAACATCATTTATGGTCAAAGCCAGAGTATGATGGAGGCAGTGAAATCACCAGCTATGTTGTAGAAAAAAGAGTTGGTGAGGATGGGGAGTGGACAGTGATTAGCCATAAGGGAGAAGTGAGAACCACAGAGTATGTTGCCTCAGATCTTAAACCAGATATTGACTACTACTTCCGTGTATCTGCTGTTAATTGTGCTGGACGTGGAGACCCAATAGAAATGGAAGAGCCAGTACAAGCCAAGGACATTCTTGGTATGTACTCATGTTGAAATGCTTGTTATATCTTTGTACATTTTATAACAATATTTTCCGCTTGTAACAACAGCATAAATAATTTGAATTATTATTTTGCAGAGGAAGCCCAGGTTGATAAGGATGTTGCAATGAGAACTCACTACATTGTGAAAGCTGGTAAAGATGTTGAAATCATGGTGCCCCTGAAAGGCAGACCTGCTCCAAGTATCTCTTGGAAGAAGGAAGACCAGAACATTGACAATGATCCTAAATATGACATTCACAACACAGACACGTCATCGTGTCTCATAATTACACAAGTAACTCGAAACGACACTGGTAAATACACCATTAATATATCAAATGGTGTAGGAGAACCAAAGTCCTTAACTGTGTCTGTTAAAGTACAGGACACTCCAGCTGCTTGTAAGAATTTGATCTTAAAAGACGTCACTCGTGGGAAAGTTACACTTTGCTGGGAGTCTCCTCTATTGGATGGTGGTGCTGAAATTACCAATTTTGTTGTTGAGAAAAGAGACTCTTCAAAGCGTACATATGCCTGTGTAACAAATAAGTGCAAAGAAACCACATGCGTAATTGAAGAACTCTCTGAGAAAGCATCATTCTTCTTCCGTGTATTAGCAGAAAATGAGAATGGAGTTGGAGATCCATGTGAAACAGCAGAGCCAGTTAAAGCCACAGAGACACCAGGACCAGTCAAAGACCTTTCTATGAAAGATTCCACAAAGACTTCAGTAACACTACAATGGAACAAACCAGATTATGATGGTGGTAGCATTATTACAGACTACATAATTGAAAAGAAACTCCAAGGTCAAGAAGAATGGGCCCCTGCTGGCACAAACAAGCACTGTGAACATGAAGTTACAAAGCTTAAGGAACTCACTGAAATGTTTTTCAGAGTTTGTTCTAAGAATGAAAAGGGTACTAGTGACTTTGTTGAAATCGGATCAATTAAAGTAAAGGACTACATTATCCCACCAGAAGCAAACCTTAAAGAGTATCCTGATGGACAAATCAGTGTACATTTGGGACACAATGTTCATGTTGAATTGCCATACAAGGGTAAACCAAGACCAACCATTCTTTGGTTAAAGGACAATTTACCACTGAAGGAGAGTGAAAAAATCCGCTTCAAGAAGACTGAAAACAAAGCCACTCTAATGATAAAAAATGTGGAGAAAGAGAATGGAGGCAAATACACACTTACTCTTGACAACACATTCTTCAGAAAATCATTTCATATACAGGTTATTACCCTTGGACCACCCGCTAAACCTGTTGGACCTATCCGCTTGGATGAGGTCAGAGCAGAAAGTATAGCTATATCTTGGGATGAGCCAAATGATAATGGGGGTGGAGAAATCACTTGTTACACTGTTGAGAAACGTGACACCTCTCAGACAGACTGGAAAATGGCTTGTTCAAGTGTGATTGGAACATCATTTATGGTACCCAATCTGATCAAGGGAATTCAATATCAGTTCAGAGTCTGTGCAGAAAATAGATATGGTGCAAGTGAACCTGTAGTTTCTCAAAATGTCATTGCCAAGCATGAGTTCAGACCACCTGGCCCACCAGGCATGCCATTGGTTTACAATGTTACAAATGATGGCATGACTATTCAGTGGGATGCACCTATTTTTGATGGAGGTTGTCCAATCCTTGGGTTCCATGTTGAAAAGAAGGAGAAGAACAGCATAATGTGGCAAAAGGTCAACATAGTCTTGGTGAAAGAAAGGGAGTACAGGATTCTTGGTCTCATTGAAGGCTTGGAATATCAGTTCAGAGTCTACGCCCAGAATGATGCTGGATACAGTCGCATGAGTGATGCATGCAAACCTGTAATGGCTGTTTCTCCAGTTGGTAAGTTCAACTTTAAGACTTATTTTATCACATAGAAATGTCACGTTAGAAATATGACAGTTGACAGTGTCTAAATACTAAATAACATATGTATTTTAATTTCAGATCCTCCTGGTACCCCTGACTATGTTGATGTAACAAGTGAATCAGTTAAACTGAAATGGGAAGCGCCCAAGCGTGATGGTGGAAGCAAAATTGTTGCCTATAATGTGGAGCAACGACAGGGCAAAGGACGGTGGTTAAAGAGCAATTTTTCAAATGTGACTGACACAGAATTTACAGTGACTGGTCTTGCTTGCGGTGAACGCTATGAATTTAGAGTCATAGCAAGAAATGCTATCGGTACAGTGAGCCCACCCTCTCAGTCTTCTGGATATGTCTTAGTCAGAGATGAGAGCTGTAAGTACATCCAGTTTATATTGTGTTTGTCGTTTTACATGCAGTTTTATGCTGGTCTGTATATGTTAAGTTCATAATCTTATCTCTTTCAGTTGCTCCAAACATTGAGTTTGGACAGGAATACTTTGAGGGAGTGTCTATTAAAGCTGGAGAAAACATCAGGCTAAAAGTAACAATCATTGGAAGACCAACACCAAAAGTTACCTGGTACAGAGATAATATTGAATTAACCAAGAAAATGGTTGATTTCACAACAATTTCTGGATCAAGTACCCTCTTTATCAGAGATGCTGACCGTAGTCACCGTGGTCTTTATACTGTGGAAGCCATAAATCCCTCAGGAGCTAAAAAGGAATCAGTGAAAGTTGAAGTCTTTGGTATGAATAATTTTTGTACCTTATCCCTCTTATTTATTAATTCTACACTTTAATCACTATATTTTCTTGAGATTTTTCTTTAACCTATGCTTCTATAATTTCTATCTTTCAGATACACCTGGTGAACCTGTTGGACCAATCACATTCTCAGATATCTCTGAGGGCAAAGTAACACTTTCATGGAATCCACCTGAGAATGATGGCTGTTCTGAGGTCACTCATTACATTGTTGAGAAGCGTGAAACCTCTAAAATTTCATGGGCACTTGTTACGGATGAGTGCTTGGCATGCACATACATTGCCACCAAACTGATCAAGACAAATGAGTATCAGTTCCGTGTTTCTGCAGTCAATAGGTTTGGTGTTAGCAGACCACTGGATTCAGCACCCGTGATTGCACAGATGCAATACAGTAAGATGATAAAAAAATTGAGAAAAATATATTTCAATATAAGCTCATGTAAAGCACTGTAAAAAAAATCTTTCTGTAATTTCTTCCTTTTTCATCCCTGCAGCTGTTCCAGATTCTCCTGGAACTCCAGATGCAACAGATGTTGACGGAGAGAGTATCACAATCAGCTGGGCTCCACCAACACATGATGGTGGAAACCCAATTAAATATTACATTGTGGAAAGACGTGAAAAGAAAACTGGTCGCTGGCTGAAAGTCATAACAAGGAAACCCATTGTTGAGGCTGCACACAGAGTGACTCATCTCACTGAGTATGTGGAATATGAATTCCGTGTGTATGCTGTAAATGATGCTGGAATTGGAGCACCAAGCAACATTTCAATGCCTATTAAATGTGCAGAGCCAACTGAAGAACCTGATGCCCCATCTATCGTCAATGTTACTGACACTACCAATACATCTGTCAGCTTGGAATGGACCAGACCTGCCTATGATGGTGGTATGGAAATCCATGGCTACATTATTGAGATGTGCAAGGGATCTGAACAGGAATGGCACAGAGTCAATGAGGATCTTTGTGCTGTCACAAAATACAATGTCACTGGTTTGGAAACTGGTGCAGAGTACAAGTTCCGTATTTGTGCAGTCAATTCTGTTGGAAAGGGTGAAGCCAAAGAAATACCTGAGTCTGTACAGGCAGTAGACAGGCTCTTGGCACCAGAAATTGACATAGATGCATCCTTCAAACAGACACATATTGTGAAAAGTGGTGGAAGTGTATGTATCCGTATTGGCTTTAAGGGAAAGCCAACACCTACAGCTTCCTGGACAAAAGTAGATGGAGAACTTGGTGTTATGACAGACATCACCACCACTGAGACATTCACAGCCTTGACACTGGAAAACTGCACTAGAAATGATACTGGAAAATATACTCTCACTCTTGAGAACAGTAGTGGCAATAAATCTATCACTATTGCAGTCAAAGTGTTGGACACACCTGGTGTACCAGGGGCTCTCTCAATCAAGGAAGTCACAAGAGGAGCTCTCACAATTGCTTGGAAACCTCCTACCAATGACGGTGGCGCACGTGTTCATCATTACATTGTTGAGAAACGTGAGGCAAGCCGTCGTACATGGACAGAGGCAGCACCCAAGACCACTCAAACAAGCTTGAGAGTTTCTGATCTCCTGGAAGGTGTACCTTATTTCTTCAGAGTCGTGGCTGAGAATCAGTATGGTCTTGGTGAAGCGTATGAAATGCCTGATCCAGTTATTGCCACAGCTGAACCTGCTCCACCAAAGAGAGTTGATATCATTGATACAACTGACACATCAGCAACCCTGGTCTGGCTTAAGCCAGAGCATGATGGAGGAAGCCGTATCACAGGCTATTGTGTGGAATCCAAGGCAAAAGATGCAGATAAATGGATTGTTTGTGGTACAACGAAAAACCTAAGCCTCGTAATTGAAGGACTTATAGAGAACAGTGAGTATGAATTCCATGTCAAGGCAAAGAATGATTCTGGGTTCAGTATGCCAAGAGAAGCTTTCTCCTCAGTCATCATTAAAGAGCCGCGGATTGAACCTACTGCTGATCTCAGTGGTATCAGCAACCAACTCATTACTAGCAGGATTGGCGAATCTTTTGAGATTGATGTTCCAATTAGTGGAAGACCAGCTCCAAAGGTATCCTGGAAGCTTGAGGAAATGAGGCTGAAAGAAACTGACAGGGTTTCAATCAAAACTACCAAAAACAGGACCACTCTCACAGTTAAAGATTGCATGAGAGGTGATGGAGGCAGATATTTCCTCACTCTTGAGAATGTCACTGGGTCAAAGACTTTCACTGTCACTGTCAATGTTATTGGCAGACCAAGCCCTCCAGAGGGCCCAATTGAGATTTCCTCGATTACATCAGAGTCATGCGTACTGTCATGGAATCTACCTGAGGATGACGGTGGAACAGACATCACTAACTACATTGTTGAGAAGCGTGAATCTGGCTCCACTGCTTGGCAGCTTATTAACTCAAGTGTAAAGCACACTTCTTTCCATATTTCTCATCTTACTAAATACATGCAGTATACTTTCCGTATCTGTGCTGAAAACCGTTTTGGTGTGAGCAAACCAACAGAGTCTGAGACGATTGTTGCAGAGCATCCATTTGGTATGTAATAGCTTATAAGAAATTAGCATTTTTGAGATACTGTATAAATGATCAAATATAAAATATTTTATTACGTTTTCATTTTCACAGTTCCTCCAGGCCCTCCAACAAGACCAGAAGTGTTCACTGTAACCGCCAACAGCATGAGCATTCGTTGGGAGGAACCGTACCATGATGGTGGCAGCAAAGTCACTGGATACTGGATTGAAAAGAAGGAGCGTAACATAATTCTCTGGGTGAGAGAAAACAAGATTCCCTGCTTTGAATGCTACTACAAGGTGGAAGGCCTTGTTGAGGGTCTTGAATACCAGTTCAGAGTGTATGCAATGAATAGCGCTGGCCTCAGCAAAGCAAGCGAAGCATCAAAGAGAGCTGTGGCTCAAAATCCAGTTGGTAAGTACATCACAATCAAAAAGTAATTCATACCAGTCTAGATCAGCAAAAACAATATTTATATGTGTTCTTTGATGATACAAATTTATAGATCCTCCGGGAAAACCAGAGGTTACAAATGTATCAAGATCAACAGTCTCAATCAAATGGTCTGTGCCCCTAAACGATGGTGGAAGCCCAATCACAGGCTACATTGTTGAGCGCAAGCCATATACTGTCACTGGAGAAGGTCGCTGGCTTAAGTGTAACTACACTAATGTTACTAACACAAATTTCACTATCACTGCACTGGGAGAAGGAGAGGAATATGAATTCCGTGTAATTGCCAAAAATGCAAATGGAGTGTTGAGCCTGCCATCAGTTTCAACAGGACCAGTGACCTGCAAAGCAGAATACAGTATGTATCATACATGGTTCTTTCACTAAACACGTAAGACTAATATTTTATATTAATGAGAACCTAAATACTCATGACAACTCAATTATTTTGTAGTTCCTCCTAAAGCAGAGCTGGACAGCAAACTCCTTGTGGACACAGTTATAATTAGAGCTGGATCTGATCTGGTGCTGGATGCTGCTGTTGGTGGTAAGCCTGAGCCTAAAGTCAGCTGGTCCAAGGGTACAAAAGAGCTAGAGCTTTGTGAAAAATATGCTCTCCAGTACTCAAGTACACGTGCTCTGGCAATCATCAAGTTCTGTGACAGAGATGACACTGGGAAGTATGTTCTGACAGTTAGAAATGCAAGTGGAACAAAAACTGCTGAGGTCAATGTTAAAGTGCTTGGTAAGTGTGCTAAACATACAGCGATAACATAAATGAACGGTATCTTCAGTCCCAAATATGTTGTCCATTCATACGATAATCTTTCATCTTTTTCAAGATACACCTGGCCCCTGTCAGGAGATTATAGTCAGCAATGTCTCTGAGGAAAAATGCACAGTGTCTTGGAAAGAGCCACTGGAGGATGGTGGTGACCCCATCACACATTACATTGTTGAAAGAAGGGATACCAATAGACTTAACTGGGTTATCATGGAGGCTGAATGCAAAGCCCTAACATGTGAAATGAAAAGACTTTTCAAGAACAATGAATATATCTTCCGTGTGAGAGGTGTGAACAAGTATGGATCTGGTGTGGCAGTACAGTCTACCCCCATCTTTGCCAGAAACTCATTCAGTAAGTGCCATGATTAATAATAAAAACATTAGCTGAGCTATTTTTCAGTGTTACATGTTACAATATTGCAACTTCATTTCCAATTACAGCTGTCCCATCACCCCCTGCAACACCAGAAATCCTTGCAGTTGGAAAAGACTATGCAACGATCGAGTGGCTGAAGCCTGAGAGCGATGGTGGCAGTGAAGTCACAAACTACTTGATTGAGTTCCGTGAAAGAAAGAGTGTAAGATGGATCAAGGTTAACAGAGATTCTATTCTCAAGGAGACATCCTTCAAAGTCACTGGTCTCCATGAAAGCAACATTTACCAGTTCCGCATTACAGCCATGAATGCAGCTGGTGATAGTGAACCTAGTGAAGTGTCAATGTATGCAGTATGTAGAGTACCAACAGGTATGTTTCTGAAACAACCTCATTGTTAAAAATGTAACGTGTATATTACTTTAGTAACAACTGTTTACCTTATAATGTGAAATCCCTATTTTAGGCACTCCAGATCCACCTTCAATTCCAAGGGTTACAGACACACACAAAGATAGTATTAGCCTTGCCTGGACACGACCAGTTGAAGATGGAGGTGCAGATGTTATTGGTTATGTTCTTGAGATACAAGAAGCTGGTGCAGAGGAATGGACAAAAGTGCATGAAAAGAATCTTAGGGTGACAGAACACACAGTTGCAGGTCTTTCTGCTGGCAAAAAATACTGTTTCAGAGTTACAGCAGTCAATGTAAATGGAATGGGTGATTTCAGTGATCCTTGTGCAGAGACTGAGCCTGTGGAAAGAACTGGTATGTTCACACAAATTCCATATTGTTATATGCTGTCAAAGTTTTATATGTACAAATGCAAGAAAGAAGTTATGTCCAATATCTTTGTAAGTATCTTCTCTATTAAACTCTCTTGTTTATTATTTATTCCAGAAATTCCTGACCTTGAGCTGTCTGATGAACTGACAAAGACAATTTGTCTGAGAGCAGGAAGTTCTCTGCGGCTCCATGTTACTGTTACTGGTAGACCAATCCCAACTGTAACCTGGACCAAACCCGGTGTGGACCTCCAAAATCGTGGCTTTATTGAAGTGACAAATACTGCTACAACTCTCATTATTGACAAGGTGCACCGCTATGATGCTGGTAGATATACAATTGAAGCTTCAAATTCAGCTGGGAAGAAGGATGCAAGCATTCTTGTGAAAATCTATGGTATATTTATTTAAATATATTTTTTCTCATATTAAATCATGCAAATTATTTATAGTGCATATAACAACATACCATAAAATGATGTCTAACCAGCCTGTTTATGAATTCTTTCTCAGATACACCTGGTCCAACTGGTCCAATTAAGGTGAAAGAGCTTACAAAAGATTTTGCTCATATTACTTGGGATGCTCCTGAGGTTGATGGTGGAGCACCTGTCAATAATTACATCATTGAAAGACGAGAGGCATCAATGAGAGCATACAAAACTGTCACATCCAAATGCAGCAAGACATCATACAAAATAACTGGTCTGACAGAAGGAATGCTGTATTATTTCAGAGTCTTACCAGAGAATATCTATGGTATTGGTGAACCTTGTGAGACAAGCGATGTTGTGTTGGTGTGCGAAGTTCCACTTCCACCAGCCAAGCTTGAAGTTGTAGATGTAACCAAATCCAGTGTATCACTTGCCTGGGAGAAACCTTTACATGATGGAGGCAGCAGAATCACTGGCTACATTGTTGAGGCTTGTAAAGCTGGTACTGACAAGTGGATGAAGGTGGCAACTTTGAAACTTACAGACTTTGAGTTCACTATCATGTCACTTAATGAGAATGAGCAGTACTTCTTCAGGGTACGTGCTGTCAACAGCAGAGGAGCTGGTGAGCCAAAAGAAATTGTTACAGCTGTGACAGTTCAAGATCAAAGAGGTATGTACTACGATATTAACAAAAAATACAAGATGCTGTCATTTGTTTGTCATGTCTCACTGTTTATGCCTTTTTTTCCCTCTTTCAGTCATGCCAAAGGCTGATCTATCAGCTATTCCACAGAAGACGATAAGTGTTTTGGCAGGCAAACCCCTTGAGCTTGACTTACCAATTATAGGAAGACCACCACCAGTTTGTTCTTGGTTCTTCAATGACAATAGGTTAAAGATTGTGGAGCGTGTGAAGATAAAGTCAACTGGAAAATTCTCTAAATTAACTATTCTTGACACTACCATTGATGACAGTGGAGTGTATACTCTTGAGGTAAAAAACATAACAGGAGTAACTACTGAAAACATCAAAGTCATCATTCTTTGTAAGTACCGACTCCCTGCATGAAAATAGATATTTTAAAATGGTTGAGTTTTTCTTTCTCAGATACACCTGGTCCAACTGGTCCAATTAAGGTGAAAGAGCTTACAAAAGATTTTGCTCATATTACTTGGGATGCTCCTGAGGTTGATGGTGGAGCACCTGTCAATAATTACATCATTGAAAGACGAGAGGCATCAATGAGAGCATACAAAACTGTCACATCCAAATGCAGCAAGACATCATACAAAATAACTGGTCTGACAGAAGGAATGCTGTATTATTTCAGAGTCTTACCAGAGAATATCTATGGTATTGGTGAACCTTGTGAGACAAGCGATGTTGTGTTGGTGTGCGAAGTTCCACTTCCACCAGCCAAGCTTGAAGTTGTAGATGTAACCAAATCCAGTGTATCACTTGCCTGGGAGAAACCTTTACATGATGGAGGCAGCAGAATCACTGGCTACATTGTTGAGGCTTGTAAAGCTGGTACTGACAAGTGGATGAAGGTGGCAACTTTGAAACTTACAGACTTTGAGTTCACTATCATGTCACTTAATGAGAATGAGCAGTACTTCTTCAGGGTACGTGCTGTCAACAGCAGAGGAGCTGGTGAGCCAAAAGAAATTGTTACAGCTGTGACAGTTCAAGATCAAAGAGGTATGTACTACGATATTAACAAAAAATACAAGATGCTGTCATTTGTTTGTCATGTCTCACTGTTTATGCCTTTTTTTCCCTCTTTCAGTCATGCCAAAGGCTGATCTATCAGCTATTCCACAGAAGACGATAAGTGTTTTGGCAGGCAAACCCCTTGAGCTTGACTTACCAATTATAGGAAGACCACCACCAGTTTGTTCTTGGTTCTTCAATGACAATAGGTTAAAGATTGTGGAGCGTGTGAAGATAAAGTCAACTGGAAAATTCTCTAAATTAACTATTCTTGACACTACCATTGATGACAGTGGAGTGTATACTCTTGAGGTAAAAAACATAACAGGAGTAACTACTGAAAACATCAAAGTCATCATTCTTTGTAAGTACCGACTCCCTGCATGAAAATAGATATTTTAAAATGGTTGAGTTTTAATATTAATCATAAACCTCTTCTCTCTCTGTAGCCAAACCTGATGAGCCTCAAGGACCCATCCGATTTGATGAAATTGACGCAACATCAGTCACAATAAGCTGGGATCCACCTATGAGAGATGGTGGTGCACCAATTAGCAACTATGTTGTTGAACAACGTGATGCTCATCGTCCAGGATGGGTACCTGTATCGGAATCAGTTACCAGACCAACATTCAAATTTGACAGGTTGACAGAGGGCGATGAATATGTGTTCCGTGTCGCAGCAACCAATCGCTATGGCACTGGGGATTACTTACAGTCAGAAATCATAATGTGCAAGAGCTCCAAATGTAAGAAAAAATGTTTTAAAAAATCATATACTGTATATATATACTGTATATATATATTCTAGACCTACTTGATCACAATTTCGAATTGTTGTTACAGCCATTTCCGGGCCGCCTGGAAGACCCATTGTATTTGATGTATCACGTGATGGCATGACTGTTGCATGGGAGCCACCAGATGAGGATGGAGGCTTAGAGGTGTCTGGCTACATTATTGAACGCAAGGAGGTCAGATCTGATAGGTGGATCCGTGCTAATAAAAATCCAGTGACAATGACAAGATACAGATCCACTGGATTAATTGAAGGCCTGGAATATGAACACAGAGTGACAGCCATCAATGCTCGTGGTGTCGGCAAACCTAGCCTTCTTTCTAAACCAGCAGTAGCAACTGATCCAGTTGGTAAGCAAACTTTTACTATTAATACATTTTTGTGTGTACAAATTGAATTTTGGTAAATTCAGTTATTATCACTTATTAAACAATTACATAACCCCTACAGATCCACCAGGGTCACCTCAAAACCCACGAGTCACAGATACCACAAAATCTTCTGTGTCTCTGGCCTGGAGTCCTCCAGATGAGGAGGGTGGTGCTAAGGTTACAGGCTATCTAATTGAGATGCAAAGGGTTGGATCAGTAACCTGGTTGAAGTGCAACGCTACACCTTCACTGATCTGTGAATATACTTTGACACAAATGCCACAAGGAGAAGAATTTAAATTCCGTGTTATGGCTTGCAATGCTGGTGGACCAGGTGAACCAGCTGACGTACCAGGTGTTGTGACTATAACAGAGATGCTTGGTAAGATCTTATGACCCTGCCATAATCTCCCTGTAGTTATATGTGTGAAATTCTATATGTCTGGAATAATTTAATGATTTGAAATGTGCTGTTTCAGATCCTCCAAGTTATGATCTTGAGGCAAAATACAAAGATGTCCTTGTAGTCAGATCTGGAGGAGTAATCAAACTTTCAGTACCCATCAAAGGCAAACCTGCTCCTACCTGCAAATGGACGAAGGATGGATCAGAGGTGACCAACCATGCAATGATTGCTTCCAATGAAGATGTATCAGAGCTTGTAATCAAACAAGCTGAAAGGTCTGATTCTGGAGTTTACTATCTCCATCTGGAAAACAAGTGTGGCAAAATGATGCTTCCTATAAAGGTCAAGGTTATTGGCCGCCCATCTGTACCTGAAGGCCCTCTTAGATTTGATGATATACAAGCACATTCTGTAAGAGTGAGCTGGAAACCACCAACAGAAGATGGTGGTTCTGAAATTGTTGGCTACATTGTGGAGAGACGTGAAGTAACAAAAGCAGCTTGGTACACTGTTGACTCACGAGTGGTTGACACATCCCTTGTGGTTAAGGGACTACAAGAAAATGTTGAATACCACTTCAAGGTGACAGCAGAGAACCAGTTTGGAATAAGCAACTCCCTGAAATCAGAGACAACTGTTGTACCAAAGACTCCCATTTGTAAGTGCTTGTCAGTGGTCTCATTTCCAGGCATTGCATGTTTGTTATTAAACATAAAAACATTTTCTTAAATTTTTTGTTATTAATATTTAGGTGTCCCAGAGGCTTCAGGCACTCCACCAGAAATTATGGATGTTACTAAGAATTCTGCTGCTTTGGCTTGGACTAAACCCAAAGATGATGGTGGATCTCGCATTACTGGTTACTTTATTGAGTACAAAGAAGTGTCGTCTGAAAAGTGGATTCGTCATGAGACAAAGATTACCTCAACAATGTATACTCTTAGTCAGCTCTCAACTGATGCTGAGTATCAGTTCCGTGTTATTGCTGTGAATGACATTGGAGAGAGTGAACCAGGACCTGCATCAGATTCAGTAATATGCAAAGATCCCTTTGGTATGACCTCATTCTTAATTTTCTCTGTTCATTAATTGATTTAAAATTGATGTCTTGATTTAATAAAAAGAAAAAAAATAACACTCTATTGCGTTCTTGATTTATTTAGATAAACCAAGCCAGCCAGGAGAAATTGACACTATGACTGTTACCAAAGACTACATTACAATTAACTGGGAGGCTCCAGCATGTGATGGTGGAAAACCAGTTCTTGGCTACTGGATTGAATACCGAAAGTCTGGAGAGAGTGCTTGGAAGAAATGCAATAAGGAGCGCACAAAGGACAAACAATACACACAGGGTGGTCTACAAGAGGCAACTGAATATGAATTCAGAGTATTTGCTGAAAATGAAACCGGAATTAGCAGACCACGCAGAACAGCAACTGGCATCAAAACTAAACTGGGTGGTATGTACTGTATGGTTTGAAATAACATAAGTATTATTGTATGTATTGTATGTATTTGTCAGTACAATAATATTAACAAATATTTATCCCAGTGCATTTTAGAGGAGAAATTTATTTGACTAAAATGAACCTCACTATAGCTGTCTCTGCTGTTTTGTTTTTTTTTAGTTGGAACTAAACCAGCTCTCCGGAAAGAGATGGATGAAGTCACTGCTAAACTAGGACAAACTGCAACTCTCAAATGTCAGATTATTGGAAGACCTGTTCCAGAAATTAAATGGTACAAGGGTGGAAAGGAAATCAAAGAAGGTCGCGAATATGCAGCGACCTCTGATGGCCGCAGTCATACACTGACCATTTCAACCGATCAGCAGGAAGATGAGGGTCTGTACACATGCATGGCTGTGAATGAAGCCGGGGAGTGTGAGACCAGTGGAACTCTGGTCCTTGAAGCAGCACCACAGTTCCCAGTGCCACTGAAAGACAAATTATTTGCAACATGTGGTAGCACAGTGCGCATACATGTTGTTTACATTGGTCGACCTCAGCCTAAGATCATGTGGCTTTATGGCGCCAAGGCTTTGGAGCCCTCTGAGAATGTAATAATTGAAAATACAGAGCATTACACTCATTTGATTCTCAAAAATGTACAGCGCAGAGTAAACGGAGGAAAATACAGAATCAGGATCAACAACCATTTCGGGGCTGCAGATACTGTAACTCATGTTGAAATCTTAGGTATATGATTAATAATGCTTAATAATTTGTTTAAAAAATCTGGTAGGTATTAGTGGAAATAAGACCAATTAACATATTCTTTGTGCTTTCAGATAAACCTGCAATGCCAGAAGGCCCTCTTGTTCTTGATGCACTATTGAAGAATTCTGTGATCATTAGCTGGAAAGCACCCAAAGATGATGGAGGATCTATGATCACAAATTATATTGTGGAAAAGCGTGAAGACAAGGAAGGAGCAGAGTGGGAACTTGTATCTTCATCTATCACAGGCACTTCATGCAGAATTCCTAACCTTGTTGAAAATGAGGGATACTTCTTCCGTGTTTCAGCACAAAATCGTTATGGCAATAGTGAATCACTGGAGACTCCTTCTGCTATCCTCATCAAGAGTCAGCTAGGTAAGTAATGAAGAAACATGATTAAAGAAGTAACTACAATTTTGATGTTATTTTTTCAGTGTTGTAATTCAAATTAAAATGTATGTTTTACAGAGAGGCCAGGAGCTCCATTAAAACCAGTTGTTTCTGCACTTACCAAAAACTCCTGTGTTGTGTCTTGGAAGCCACCTCTCAGTGATGGTGGTTCTAAAATTAAGAACTACTGTCTTGAAAAACGAGATAAGAAGAAGGGTGAATGGGTTGCAGTTACAACAGATGAAATCCACCAGACTGTTTATTCTGTCAAGGGCCTGACAGAAGGTGTGGAGCATGAATTCCGGGTGAAATGTGAAAACCTTGGTGGAGAAAGTGAGTACAGTGAAGTATCTGACCCTGCCATTCCAAAGACTGATGTTGAAGTGCGTGCTCCTGCCTTCAAAGAAGACCTCAGAAACATGAGTGTAAAATTCAAGAGCAATGCAACATTTGTCTGCAAGATAACAGGACAGCCCAAGCCTGTAATAAAATGGTTCAAGCGTGGTAAGGAAATTCAAGCTGATGGCACCAAAATCAAGATCCAAGAATTCAAGGGAGGCTACCATCAGCTTGTTATTGCTGATTGTGATACAGAAGACTCAACTGTATATCAGATCAGAGCAACAAACCAGGGTGGATCCATTTCTGCTACTGTTTCTCTAGATGTTGAAAGTAAGCTTCCTTACTTTATCTGGCTAAACATATAATTCTGTCTGTAGAAATATTTCAAAGTGATGCATTACAATTTTTCTTGTTTCAGTCCCTGCTAAGATTCATCTACCTAAGAATCTGCAAGGAAAGGAGGCTATCCCTGCCCTTCGTGGTGAAGTGGTGAACATCAAAATTCCATTCAGTGGAAAACCAGATCCAGTTATCACTTGGCAGAAGGGACAAGACCTTCTTGATAATGATGGACACTATCAAGTCATTGTCACACGATCCTTCACATCTCTTGTATTCTTGAATGGAATAGAAAGGAATGATGCTGGTTTCTATATTGTGTGTGCCAAAAACAGATTTGGAATTGACCAGCAAACAGTTGAGCTTGATGTTGCAGATGTGCCTGATCCACCACGTGGCATCAAAGCCAGTGATGTTTCGAGAGATTCTGTAACACTTCACTGGGTAGCACCTGCCAATGATGGTGGAAGTAAAGTCACAAACTATATCATAGAAAAGTGTGCCACAACAGCAGAAAGATGGGTTCGTGTTGGCCAGTCTCGTGACACCCACTATACTGTTGTCAATCTGTTTGGAAAAACAAGTTACCAATTCCGTGTCATAGCTGAAAATAAATTTGGTCAGAGTGCACCGTCTGAGCCAAGTGGATCTGTTGTAACGAAGGAAGACAAATCAAGAGTTCTTAACTATGATGAAGAAGTTGATGACACCAGGCCAGTTTCCAAAAGCAAAGCTCCTCATTTAGAGGCTAAGAATGTTCACAACAAGTACATGATTGCTGAAGAGCTTGGCCGCGGACAGTTTGGTATTATTCACCGGTGCATTGAAAGCAGTTCTGAGAAAACTTACATGGCTAAATTTGTCAAAGTTAGAGGTGCAGATCAGGCACTAGTGAAGAAAGAAATTGCAACACTGAATGTGGCACGCCACAAGAACTTCCTGTTACTGCATGAGTCATTTGACTGCCCTGAAGAACTAGTCATGGTTTATGAGTTCATCTCTGGTGTGGACATATTTGAGCGCCTTGGTACAGCCAATTTTGAGCTCAATGAGCGTGAAATTGTTAACTATATCAGACAAGTATGTGAAGCTCTTGAATTCCTTCACAGCAAGAGTTATGGCCACTTTGATATCAGGCCTGAAAATATAGTGTACACTACAAGAAAGGGAACTAATGTCAAGATCATTGAGCTTGGACAATCTAGACACCTTACACCTGGCGACCAAATTAAGATTCAGTACACGACAGCTGAGTTTGCGGCACCAGAAATACATCAAAATGAGATGGTTAGCACCGTGACAGATATGTGGTCTGTTGGTGTCCTTGTGTATGTTCTTCTCAGTGGACTTAATCCATTCGCTGCTGAAACTAATCAGCAAATGATTGAGAGCATTTGCAATGCTGAGTACAGTTTTGATGATGAAGCCTTCAAGCATGTAAGTGTTGAGGCATTTGACTTTGCGGACCGCCTACTAACCAAAGAGCGCAAACATCGTATGACCGCTGCTGAGGCTTTGAATCATCCTTGGCTGACAATGAACTCAGAGCAGCTAAGCACTAGGTCCATCAAGATTACACGCCATAAGAGATATTACCAAGCCATGGTTAAGAAAGAATGGAACACTGTTGTGTCATCTGCTCGTGTTGCCAGTGGTGGTGCTATCAGAAGTCAGCGAGGAGTAACAGTCTCTAAAGTGAAGATTGCACCATTTGAACATGGACCGGTTGCAGGACTAATTAAACACAGTGTTGCTGACGAAGGTGATGATATCAAGCTCATTTGCAACATTGATAACTACGATAGCACCACCGAAGTAACATGGTACTGTGGAGTAAGACAACTAGAAGAAGGCGCTAAATATGAAATTACTTATGAAGACGGGCTTGCTACCATAACTATCAAAGGAATCACCAGAACTGATGACGGAACATACAGATGTAAAGTTGTCAATGAGTATGGTGAGGACAGTGCCTATGCTGAGCTCTTTGTCAAAGGGGTAAGATCCTATCGTGAGTTCTTCACTACACGTGTTGTAAAGAAAGTAAAACGCAGAGTTGACACAGCAAGACTTCTGCAAAGACCTCCTGAATTTACTTTGCCATTGTGTAACCGCACTGCTTACATTGGAGAGGATGTCCGCTTTGGTGTCACAATCACAGTGCATCCTGAACCTCGTGTAATGTGGTTGAAAACTGGTCAAAAGATTATGCCAGGAGATGATGACAAGAAATACACTTTTGTTAGTGATAAGGGCCTGTATCAGTTAGTGATTCACAATCTTGACCCAGATGATGACGCAGAATACACTGTTGTGGCACGGAACAGATTTGGTGATGACAGTTGCAAGGCTCGTCTCACAGTGATCCCTCGTCCTGCTCCTGCTGATAACACCTTGAGACCTATGTTCAAACGTGTTCTTGCTAACTTGGAATGCAGAGAAGGCCAGAGTGTACGTTTTGAAATGAGAGTGTCAGGACATCCTTCATTGAAATGGGAGAAAGATGGCATGCCTTTGGCATTTGGTCCACAAATTGAAGTTGTGCATGAAGGCTTAGATTACTATGTCTTACATGTAAGAGATACTCTTCCAGAGGATTCTGGCACATATAGAGTCATTGCAACTAACTCAGCTGGGTCTGCAAGTTGCCAATCCACACTCAAGGTTGAACGTGTGATACACATCAAGAAGGAGGAGAGTGAGGAACAAAAGAAGAAGAAACACGATCTTGATCAGCAAGAGATGGACAAGAAAGTAAGACTAACTCAGATACTAGCAGGTGCAGATGTTACCCCACTTACTCCAGTCGCACAGCAAGCACTAAGAGAAGCTGCAACTATGTTCAAACCAGCAATCACTACCAAGAAAGTCAAGAGCGAAGCTGAGGAAGCCAGAGAAAAAGAAGAGAAAAAGAAGAGAGCAGAAGAAAAGAGGTTGAGAATGCCATATGTTATTCCTCCACCTCGTGTTGTTGCTCCTACTGCTCTTGAGGAGGACATGGAAATCAAACACTTTGTGCCTTTCTCTGATATGAAGTGGTACAAGAAACTCCGTGATCAGTATGAGTTCCCGGAGCCAATGGAAAAGTTCCCCCAGAAAAGACTTAAGCGCATCCGGCTGTCAAGGTGGGATCAGTTCTATGAAGTACCCCTGCCGAGAATTAAAGACCAATACAAGCCAAAATGGCATATTCCTGTTTCACAGGATGACCTTGAGACTGTAAGGCCAGCAAGACACCGCACACCTTCTCCAGAGATGGAGGCTTACTACAGAATCAGGAGACGCTCTCTTGGTGATCTTTCTGATGAGGAACTGCTTCTGCCTGTTAAAGAATACTTGTCAATGAAGAGAACAGAGGAAGAAAGACTTAAACTCGAGGATGAACTTGAGTTAGGCTATTCTGCTTCTCCACCAAGACTTAGCCCTGTACACTTTGAACTCTCTGCACTGCGTCACCCATCACCTAAGAGAGCTGCATATGATGAGGAGGAAGTGGAGGAAGTTCCAACATATGACTCCTACCGTATTCCATCTAAATATGAGGCTGGTCCAAGCTATATTGACTTACGTCAGCGTCACGATAGGGCAACATACAGACCTCCAAGACAAAAGCAAAGGTTATATGAGGAAAAAGAGGATCAGGAACTGCTTAGGTCAGCAATGACAACCACAAAGTTAACTTCCTACAAGAGCCAACTGCAGCACATTGAGTTTGAGGAGAAAACAAAAGTCAAAAGAAAGGAGAAAACAAGAGTTTCTGTGTCAGCGGTAACTGAGGCAGCAGTCATAACTGATATACCTACAGCATCATTCTCTCCTGGCTATGCTACAGTAACTCGTCCTAAGAAGACTTCTGCTGCTCTGGCAGAAAAAGAAGTGGTTAAAATGACATTACCTGAAAAAACACGCCCACGTTCCCCCAGCCTTGAATCTGCTGAGAAAGCAGCCACTACACCAGACTTATCAACAAAAATTGATTATATGTCAAGGTATGAGTCAAGAAAGAAAGCCTTGAAAACTGAGAGGAAGCTTGAAATTGTGACCCAGCAGCCTTTTACCCTTGACCATGCTCCCAGAGTGACTGTAAGAATGCGCTCTCACCGTGTGCCAATTGGTCAAAACACTAAGTTCACACTGAATGTCCAATCTAAGCCAGAAGCACAGATTAAATGGTACCACAATGGAGTGCAGATTGAAGAAAGCAGAAAATACCGTATGTTTAACATGAGTGGTGTTTTGTCTCTTCAAATCACTGATTGTCAGGAAGAGGACAGTAGCACCTACCGTGTCGTCTGCACAAATGCAAAGGGAGAGGCCTCTGACTATGCCACTCTCGATGTTGCTGGTGATGGATTTTCTGCATATGCCTCACAACGTAAAGATGAGGAGCCACCAACTCCCTTTGTCCCTGAGATGACAAAAACAGATGTTTATCATGTTTCATCTACAAAAGCAGCATCTGTATCAGAAACACAAGTGGAATTATCCAAAACTAAAACAGACAAGATAGAAGAGACCATTGAGACTGTTGTTCAGGAGGAGCAAGTAACATCTGAAATCAAACTTGAAACCATGGCAGTGACAGCAGTTGAGGAAGTTGTGGTTGAGAAAATTTCTGAGACTAAACTTGAAGCTACAGAAGTGACAACAGTAGTGGAAAAAGTGGTTGAGGAAAAGAAGCCAACTCTCCCAGCTACAATTCTGACTAAACCACAGTCACTCACAGTATCTGAGGGAGAATCTGTTAAATTCACCTGTGATGTTGATGGTGAACCTGCACCCACTATAACATGGATGCGAGAGACTCAAGTAATTGTGTCCTCTCATCGTTACCATATTACCTCAACTGAATATAAATCTACCTTTGAGATTACCCAAGTAGAAATGTCAGATGGAGGTAATTACACTGTAGTGGCAGAGAACTCTGAAGGTAAACAGGAGGTACAGTTCAGTCTAACTGTTCGTAAACCAACACCTATACAGAAAGTTGTTGCTTCTCCTCCAAGAGTGAAATCTCCAGAGTCTCCCCGTATAAAGTCACCATTTGGAATTAGGTCTCCACAGAGAATTAAATCACCTGAACCAATTAAATCTCCACCAAGAGTTAAGTCCCCACCCATGGTAAAATCACCTACTCCAAAAGAAAAAACATCCAAGCCAACCTTCTCAGCAGAACTGAAAGACATCTCAGCCTCTGCAGATACTATTATAAAGCTTACAGTGAAAGTGTCCAGTGAGCCTAAGCCATCAATCTCTTGGATGAAGGATGGAAAAGTAAGAGAGAGACTTTTATGAAAAAAGTTATATAGTAGAATGGATGGATTTACTAACTAATTTTGACATTTTCTCACAGAACCTCTCTCAAGGTGGAAAATATGAAATCTTTGAAGAACATGGTTCAGCACATCTTGAAATCTATGAAGCTGATGTCTCTGATAGTGGAGTGTACACATGTACAGCCAAAAACAGTGCTGGATCTGTTACTACAAACTGCACTGTTACCGTTCAAGGTATTGTAATGCGCAATTTAGTGCTCAAAATACATTATGATTTTAGTAAGTATAATTTTGTGTAATTTTGCATGTACAATTGTACTTTAATCAAATTGAACTACTCTTTCCTGTACAGCACGAACAACAACAGTTGCCATTGAAAGAAAAGCAGAGTTGACAGAGCAAATAGTGAAAAAGGAGATTGCCTATGAGGAAGTGCAGTCCTTTACAGAAATTAAAGCATCAAAAACCCAAATGACAATGAGTCAAGGTCAGACTGTTACACTACGAGCAAACATCCCTGAAGCCTCTGATGTGAAATGGATCCTGAATGGAGCCAAGCTATTAAATTCAGAGAACTACAGATATGGTGTGTCAGGAAATGATCACACCCTGACAATTAAAAGCATCAGCCACCATGACCAGGGAATTCTCACATGTGAGGCCAAAACTGAACATGGTGTAGTCAAGTGCCAGTTTGACATGACCGTCAGTGCAATGCACTCAAATGCACCAAGTTTCCTTGTGCAACCACGCTCCCAGAATGTAAACGAGGGACAAAATGTCACATTTACATGTGAAATCACTGGTGAAACTTCTCCTGAAATTGAGTGGCTCAAGGATAATACAGTAGTGAGTATTTTGGGGGAAGAAAGTACAGTTTATTTGTATTTTTCCTCATAGCAGTCTGTTAACTTTATTTAAATTTATTTTTATCTTTGCAGATATCTATTACATCGAACATGAAATTGAGCCAGTCTAAGAATGTGTACACACTTGATATTCACAATGCCACCATTGAAGACAGCGGAAAATATACAGTAAAAGCTAAGAACAAATTTGGACAGTGCTCTGCAACAGCATCACTGAATGTCCTCAGTAAGTGTTTGATCCATTCCTAAGAATAAATGAACACTCTGTAGTAACCTAGTATGAGCATCCTGTCCATTAGATAAAGTGCATGATCAAACCAAGCATGTATGTCCATGAAGAATACATATCTAATTATCACTGCTCACCAATCAAGCTAACAAAATCTAACAATTCCTTCTACAAATGGAGCTATGTTCTTAAAGGGTTAGTTCACCCAAAAATGAAAATTAGCCGATAAATTACTCACCCTCAAGTCATCCTAGGTGTATGTGACTTTCTTCTTTCAGACGAATCCAGTCGGAGTTATATTAAAAATTGTCTTTGATCTTTCAAGCTGTTTCATGGCACTCAGCGACTGTTGCATGCATCAGTCCAAAAGAAGTTAAATACAAAGAGCCCATCCATAAAAAAAAGTGTCAGCTCCAGGGGGTGAACAAAGGCCTTCAGTAGTGAATCGATGCGTTTTTGTAAGAAAAATATCCATATTCAAAACGTAATAATCACTTTAATGTAGCTTGCGCTCACTGTTGTACACGGAAGCAGTTCCGGGCAGATGACTATTTAACTTCTTTTGGACTGATGCATGCAACACCCGCTGAGTGCCTTAATCAATTAAACAATTTTTAATATATACACCTAGGATGACTTGAGGGTGAGTAATTTATCGGCTAATTTTCATTTTTGGGTGAACTAACCCTTTAAGATCCCTTTGACTTTGTTGGATTGCATTTTGACCTACTGAATTTAACTACCACAGTACATAATAAAAAGGCACCAAATAATATAAATGCATTTGCAGTTGGCATAGTGATAACGTTAACGGTATGAATTTTCAAGGATATTAATATCCAATCCATTTTTACCATCCATTAACCATGCATCACATAGTTTGATTCATTTGAAAAAATGTTTGAGAATAAAGTCAGAATAATCAAAAGATTATATTTTTTGATTAGCATTACCAACTGAATTTCCTTAAAGGTACAATCTGTAAGTGGTGCAACTGGAGCATTTTTTATTTTAGTAATACCAATGCTATCAAAACTGTTCCAATATACTTTACATTAAATATGCCCAAATGTTTCAAACAGGAAACAGAGACCAGTTGCACCATTTGAATTGCATGTTGTACCTTTTTATGAAATAAATTGCATCAGTGACATGGTATTTGCTGTACTCTCACAGCTCTGGTTGAGGAACCTGCCAAAATGATAATTGTGGAGAGAGCCTCTGATGCTACGAGCATGCAGGGGAGTTATGCTGCCAAGCATGTGGTTTCAAAAATGCAAGAAACATCCTTCAGCAGTTCCAGCATGGCTGAGGTTAAATTTGAGAGCATGTCAGCATCTAGCATGACCTCCATGACTTCTGAAAGAATGATAGCTATGAGCTCCAGCAGTATGATGGCAATGTCCAGTCACTCGCATGCTGAGGGGTCATCCATCAAAGCCATTTCTCATGGCCGCAAAGGTGAGATGGAAAGTCTGTGCATCTTTGCCAAAAAACATTTACAGTTCAGCAAATCAGCAGAGCTATATCACCATGATAACAGATTAATTTGTTTGTCCTCTAACCAGGTATACCACCAAAGATTGAGGCTGCCCCTCAAGATATCAGTATTGAGTCAGGGAAGGACTTGACTGTAGCCTGTGCTTTCACTGGAGACCCAGCCCCTTCCATAGAATGGTCACATTCAGGGAAGACACTGTCCAGCAAGGAGGAGAGTGGACGATTGCAGATTGAGACTTCTCAAGATATCACCGCTCTTGTTATAAGTGGAGTGAAAGAGACTGATGCTGGTGCATACACCATAAAACTTTTTAATGAGTTTGGATTTGATACCACTACTGTCAATGTCAGGATTCGATCGATGTAAAAAAAATAAATAAATAAATAAAAAAAAAAGATAAAATAGTTATACAATCCTCACCCCATTTCCCTCATTCAAATCCTTTTTATTTATAGAATGAGAAAAAAATACTCCGTTCTTGATAAAGACCTGGATTTCTGTTCTTGTAAATATGACCTATTTTTATACCAAACTTGACATTAATTTATGCCAAACTAGACTAAAGTCTAAAGTTGCTATAAAATGTGCCATATTGGATAATTATGATCAGAAGTTCAGCACCATTTTGTGACATGTACATAATGTATATAGCCGAATTTACCGGTTATGAAAAATGTATGAATTGTTATTTATGACAATATTAAGAAATGAAACAAGTGGAACTAAATGTTTAACAGGAGAAAGTTTCACATGGAACGAATACCCTGTAAAACCTGAAACAAAGCAAAACTCTGTGCCTCAACAATAAGTTGAAGTCTTAAGATTGCCTCAACAGGTAGAGAGGCTCCCTGTTGAAGTTAACTAAAATCAGAGAGACGAAGTTATGCACTGTACATTTGTGCATGCAGTAATGCAGTACACAAGAATTTATGACTTGAACATAAGACCTTGAGTGCTGTTTGCGTTACCCTCATGTAAGCAGGGCAACTAGGCCTTGTGTTCAGACTGACGAAGTCATACCGCCATTTTAATGACAAGCTCAATGTGCGAGCGGCCTGCACAATGAGTTAATGATAATGTTTGTGCACAGTTTCTGGCAACGGACTGTTTGAATTTTGATTTTATGAAAGTAACACCACCTGGCCATTAATTGTAAAATCAATTCAAGTGCTTCTTTGCAGAAGCTGTGCCAACTCTTGGAGGATTGCTAGGTTATATTTTGTGTGTTTGTGTGTGTGTTAGCGTTAGAATCTCACTTTGTCAGCAGCCAGGGTATCCATCAAGTAATGTACCACAGAGACTTCATGTGCTGTGCAAAGAAAAGAAAAATACATGGATGTAATACCTGCACATTGATTTATTAGAACTAATGTATGTAGTTTTACCCATATATTCAGCCTCCTTGAGTTTTATGAATTACTGATTTAATAAAGCATGTTTTCAGCACCATAAAATGTTTGTCTGTGTGTGAATGCTACTTAATTTCATATTTGATGTATGAATTATGTTTACTCAGTCTTTGAATAATAGCTTCATGTCTTCATAGTTGGTTTAAACAACAAATTTCTTTCAGTTTTATCGGATTTCAGCCAATGTTGTTTAACAGGATAACCTGCTTGAATCAGTCATTTGAAACAGGAGAGCAGCAACATTGCCACGTTTCTTGCACTATTTAAAAACGCATTTTAAAGGGTAAAAAAAACATAAAATAATCTGATGTCTAGTAACAATTAAATGGACATTATCTATTGACATCGCCTATTTAAAACAGCAAAATTATTTTATGATTATTCCTACAGTAATTCTATAAGTGATATAATTATTTCTTGCTGTTAGGCGACTGATTATATTATATAGCCTACATACCATTCGTACAATATAGCCTACGTCCATCTGAATCTATTCTAAATCTATAACACCCGCTTAATCTATATAAACCCACCAGTGTAAGGTTTATTTCTGATCATCATTTTTTTTTTTTCAAATGTTTCTTCCTCAAAAGTAGGGTAGAGTGGGGGAAAATTACCCCCCTTGGGGTAAATTTCCCCCACTCTACCCAACGAAAGAGAACTACCTTGACGGAACCAGACTCTTTTTGTAGTAACGCTTTTCGGGTTTTGCACTTTGAAGACGATCCCTTGTCTCTCAGCCGTCTGCGCATAGAGATCAATGTATTTTGTCCAGTGCGGAGGAAAGCTCGTTTTGAGGAAAATTGGGTTGTAGCTCGTTGTCTACGTAACTACGATCGAAAAGAGGTGTTATTTGTGTAGTAATAACTTTAAGCTCACGAGTTATTGATCCGGGGAATTCGAATCTGTGAATATGTCGCCAACTTTACTCTTACTGTACTCCTCTAACGTTAAGAAACGGATTAATGTTCTTTTAAAGGCCAGTTCACACCACACAGACAGACACGAACAAAGTTGGGCGTTGGATTTAGAATTTTATGAAAAATAACTGTCATGTTCACATGTTTGTTGGCCTTAAAATGTATAGTTTGCTTAGATTCAAGACATAAACTCACGCGGATTTTTAATAACACCCCAAAAGTGAAGTGCGAAATTTGAGTACTGGGCGGCGCTGCCGCGTCAGCTCAGCTGTCCGGCCCCCGTCGCCACGCCATCAGATGTGCAAGATGTCCCCGCGGTTTACATTTTACTCTTGTTTGATTTTGTCTCTGCAAACCCTCAATCCCTTCATCGTATTGATTCGGGCAAATGAATCAAATCAAGATGTTAAAATTGAGGTCACGTTTCTGCCAGAAAACTGCAGCCAGAAAGCCAAGAGAGGAGACATGTTGAATGCTCATTATGATGGTTATCTAGTTAACGATGGATCTCAGTTCTACTGCAGGTAAACGCATTTTTTACAAATAAAGTTGTTGTATTAATGCAATGCAGGTTATATTTACCTGAGAGAGAGAGAGAGAGAGAGAGAATGGGGGGGGGGGGGGG